ATTACAGAGCTAAATTCTTACTCAAGGAATGAGAAATGCTTAGACTAGGTGGAGGATCATAAATTATACTCTTATTACAGAGTTCCCGGGCTGCCTAAATTGCACTGCTTCATTAGGTCAGTAGAGCAGAGATCTGAGTTGTGATTTTAGGAAAGTTGCATCATCCAGTCATAATTTTTTCCTTCCTCTTCTGAGACTTCTACTGTCTGCTTGTTTGTTTAAACTTGAATATATATATTCTTTTGCTAATAAATTTATCTTTGATTCATTATAAGAATAAATTCTTACAAAAATAATTATCCCATTTAAGAACTTCATACAGGAATGACACGGAGGACCACCCGATAGCCACAGAAGTCTCAAAAATCTATCAAAGCTAAGCAGTAAGCTATTTCTCAGGCTGGGATTGCACACATAGATATGGCTTACACTGGGCAGGAAATCACACAGAATATGGTTCAGAGCCTGTGTCCCAAAAAGTTCCAGATGAAGAAAGAACTGGCCCAAGAGGGAAAGGCTGCAGCTTGACATTTAAGTTGACCCCAGCGTGATAACACAGGCCAAGTCCCTAGAAATTCACTTAGCATAGCATCCATGGAAAAGACTGTTGTTTGAGTACACTAGTTAATACTGAAAGTCAAGTTTAAAGTTAACCTTGTTCTAGGTATGGAAGCAGCATACCAAGTTTTCATTTGATATTCCCAGGACAATTTTAGTAGCCTATTAGGCATTCATGCCACAGGCACCAACAACAGCATAGCTTTTCAGTGAAGAGCCTTCCTTACAACCCTAGGGGAGTATAGGGTCCCTAAGAGAGGAGTCCTGCTAGCTTCTTGGTCCCTAACACCAACATTTTTTTTTCTGGTGGATAAAATGAAGTTTATATGCCCCATCCTTCAAGGTGCTGAGCACTCAGGACCTTGCAGGAACAGACAAGTGAAACAATAACCGTTTGTATAAGGTGATGTGAATGCTGTAGGCATACTTTGAATATTTGCCAAGAGTTTACTTGGCTGCCCAGTTGTGAACACCTGCGTCTCAGGACAAGCAGTTGCATGACTTGGTGCTGACACAGGGAGGCAGTGGGAACATACAGAGGCAGGGCAGAGATCCCCCTTTCAGAACTGTTGCACAAGGAGATCAGTCTAGACTGCCTCTGGAACCACAGCTCAAGGGAGAAACAACCAACACACTGGAAAAATATGGGCATAGATCTGCCTTATAGGGTTGCCTAATTCTGGAGCCATTCCAGGCCCTGCTCCTGCTCAGCGCAGGACAACCTGTCATCAGAGAGCAGTAGCATGATCAGCTGCTCCCCCTTGCCTGGATACACCACCCACATCAGGCAGAGCTTCAGCTGGTTTCAGGCTCTGGCCCCTTTTGCACCAGCCTGCCACAGAGATAGAGCTCAAGTCTTTAGCTTGGCACCTGCAGTACTAAAAAGAGCTTAGAAAGTGGTTTTCCTCACTCTGGCACTCCTAATAACCTACACCTCTGAACAACTCACAGCTTAAAATGTGAGAATGTGTAAATTTAATGTCATCAGGGTGGGAAAGGAAGCAATGACTGTTCAGGGCGCAGCACAGCACAGTCCTTGTGGTTGGGGTCCTCAGTGGAACCTCTGTGTAAGTACTCCATGCTAGTAACAGAGTCAGTAGTAGCTATGTACAGCTTGACACGCTTCATTCAAATACACGGAAAAGACCATGAAACCAACATGAAAGAGTTGAACTTAAATACATACTTCATAGTCCAAAACCTGCAGATAGCAAAAAAGAATGACTCCTCAAACAGGAACAACTATTAATTATACCAGAGGATGGCACACACACCTAGATACAGAGATTCTTTTGTTTGGTTGGTTTTGTTAAGTCATTTCACATTCAGATACAAATGAACATCAGAGCTGAGCACAAACTGTGAGTCACAGCCGTATTCTGACATCCTCTGCTATGCAAATGTGCAGGGACCTGAGCACCCGCCCCCACCCCACTCCCTTCCCAGGAAATTATACTCTGTTCACCTATTCTGCAGAGCACATTTGTGCAATGGTTCTGTAGTAACATTCTTTGTTTGGGTAACAGTTCTCCCTCCCTTTGAGGTGATACCATGTTGTCTGCTCAGCTATTGTTTTTAAGCTAAGAAACAAAGACTGCCAGGAGCATGGCAGCTTATAGGAGAAAAGGCTCGCTTCTAAGACATGTTCTATTTTATTCATGTAAAATTCTCAAGTTAAAGCTGAAGGACATTCCTAGAAGTCTACTACTTCCCCTAGCACAGGAATCTACAAAACATTCAGCAATTTCCAGAAAAAAGGAAAAAAAATACACTTTTCTTCACAGGTGATTAGATTGAATAATTTCTTGTAATGAAAAGTTCTGCAATCTGAGCTCAACAATACTCAGGTATTCTGATGAGCAAAAATGCCAGGAGGGTTTCTCATCTCAAGCTGATCTCTAAACATGTAAAGTAGAGATGCAACTGAGAGTAAGACAACCTGCACACTAGGGATTTCTCACATTTCACCCCGCATCATCCTATACCAGCCACTGTTAAAGACCCCTCGTGTGCTGCTTTTCTCAGCAGCTGTGTTCCTCCTGCAGAGCCTATCCATCCGCACTGCTAGGGATGCCAGAGCCATGGCTGTGGAAGCAATTCCCACTCTTTCTAGGAACGTAAGAGTTTCAAAACATGGATGCTGGGCTGAGAGATTTTGTGCTTGCTGTCCAAGAAAATATTACACTCTTATAAATATTTTTGGTAGTTAGAAATAATTGTTTGGATGGGGGAAAAAGGGAAGCTTGGACACTCTAATGGCATTTTATATCAAATAAACTTTGAAGGCTTTTAGAAATACAGCCATATTACAATAAACTGCTAAACTTGAACATCTAGGTAGACAGTAAAAGCAGCAATGTTTTAGAAGCTATGCACATGCTCAGCAAGCTGGATGAAGACATCCAGCACATGTACCAGTGGTTCCAGTTCTGCTTCTCCTCCTGGCTTTGCTTAAGCTCCACTTATGATGGAGGTAATGAAGGCAGCGTATTCAGCCACTGAAGAGACAAAGAAAAGCATAAAGAATTCCTCTGCTACAGGTGAATGCTACACATTTTTTTTCTTTGCTTCAGCATTAGGTCACCAGGTAATTTTTAGTAACATTTTGTATTCATAGAAGCTGAGGTTTATAGCCTGTAGGACTTTTTGAAAGTATCCTATCTACAGAAGTTATTAGGAAAAGAAGCTATTAGCAAAAGACAGTATTTTCCTAAACAGGATTTCTCTGTCAATTGCCAGTGATGTTCTAACATGAAAATATTTTGTTCATTTTTTAAACTTCTTCTCAATTTATGAGAATAACATTTCCTGTGGCTGGCAGATTATCAGGATGGTTAATTATTATCAACTCCTTCTCATGCTTGAGGATTCTTGTGCCATTGAACACTTTCACTTAAGAATCCCCCAAAGCCTCAGTGTCTTGCAAGCAGAGACTGTCTACTCATGTTGATAAACACAAAGAAATACTATGCTACTTGCTAGCCAAACAGTACTTCCTTCCAACACTCCTGACATTCTAAAACTGCCACTTTTAATGGTAACATGATTAAGGATGTAACTGGAGATCTGTATTCTTCGTTGCCTCCAGGGTGGTGTTCTATTAACATCTAAAAAACCCCAGATACAACCCACGTATGTAGCTTTAATAAAAGAGTTACAGGAAAGATTTAACATGTATTAAAATCTGAAGAACTCTTAAAAAACCAAAAATCCCAAAACAACAAAAAAACTGAACGCTAAAGAAATTTTTGACAGAGTAACTGACACGTATTTGGGGTACTCCGTATATCCATCGCCAGTTAGAGCCTCAAACCTCCCAAAACACTAGTTCCAAATCTGGCTGCTAAGCTTATGGCACTGAGACACAATACCCTCTAAAACTGAAATTGAAACAAGATCTTTCAGGACTCTTACATGAGTTAATACTTCCATATAGAGAAATCAGTGATTAAGGTTGCAATACCCCTCACAAACACACTTCTGTCCCATACCTTGAAAATTTTGCATAAAATTCTTAAAAATGTATTTGCCTGCAAAAACATTAAGACTCCACATTTAAAATTACTGAAGAGCTCTTGACTCTGAGGTTTACTCACAAGTGATTTTGGCTTTTTAAAAACAACAGTAATGACAAAACCATTTTTTCAGTTATCTGACAAAAAACACAGAAAACCAAAACCAAACAAAATCACCTGGTCATATTTTCTCCATTGCTATGAAGCTGAACAGTGAGATTAATAAATAGGCATATTTCTAAGAAGCTTAGGAACAAAATACAGAATCAAGCTTAGTAATAATCTTTTGGGAGCTGCATATTGTGTCCTAACATTTTAAGAACTTTCTGGACTATAATTTCACCAACAGGAACTCCCAAACCTCTTATTTGGTAAAAAGAGGCAGAAGATGCTTTTAAAACTAAAACATGGAATGGGATGCCCATTTAAAATGCTGAGAATTTGAAATGATCCCCTGAAGACTTGCTTAGCTGGGGCTGGGAAACATCCTACCCAGCAAATCTTTCATTTCTAATGAAACAGTGTTGAAGGCATTTTGGAAAAAGCTCAGTCCCTAAAATGGCTAGAGATGTTGTCTGCAGTTCAGCACTTTATTTAAACAGATACAGAAACATGCCTGTCACCTCTCCTCCCAAACCTTAGCAGGCAAAAAGCATGTTGAGCTTCGCAGTGCATCTCTCTGTAGGGATTAATCTTTTGCTGTGTATCCTCTGGTACAGTGGTGTGATCCAAACCATCTTAAATAAACCTCTGTTTTAGATACTTTTACCATGCATACAAACATACTGTTGTTCAAAACACTAAAATCAATACCCCAAATCCTGAGGTGTTTCCAATTCAAGATATTTCTATGAGACTGTCTTTTAAAAGTTTAAACCAAAGATCAGTCAGAATGGAGATGTGCTCTATGGTAAAAAAGTAACTGGATTCTCTGTGCCATGTAATAATTTTACTGAACAAATAGCTCTCAAGATGTATTTTCCATAATTTTTATATACAAAACCCATAGAAGAATAAAGCTTTAAGTAACGGTTTTACAGAATATGTTGCAATTAATCATGGCATAGTGTGTTCCCAGATATTCAGTACCAAGCTTGTAAGTCAGAAGCATCTATCATGGGGCATTTAAAATTGTAATTATCCCATTTTCATTTCTGCAATTACAAATTATTTTTAAGATGCCCCACTTCAGCAGCACTAAGCTTTCACTCAATGCAAATTAATCTATAAACAAGTATTGAAATCAAGGAGGTCTGATTTAGGGACAACATTCAGACATCGCCTCAGACATTTATTACATGATAAATTAATTTGCTAAATGGAAAGTTTCTCTTAAGTAATCTTTGGGTAACTTAAACACATTTAGTTAAGGACAACATACAAATATAACTTATAAAGGTATCTTCTCCAAACAATGACTTTGTGCTAACATGCAGAATAACACCACTCGCAGAATTTAATTAGTGTAGCTTTTAAAGCATTTGCAAACCAAAACTAGTACATTTTTTTCTTGATTATTTGATTCAGGGGCTATGGCAGTCAAAAATGCAATATTAGCATTTTCAAGGCTACTTTAAGATAAAATGTAATCATACTAATCATCATTTATTTGTTGCACTTAAATAAACAAAGTTCAGAATAGTAAGTATGAGTGATTGTGCATTATGAATTATTTCTAATGTGCCTCAAAACCCCCCCAAAATAACAAAACAAAAGCCATCCCAAATTAACAACCGAATTTAAAAATCTGTGATAAACCTATCAAAAAGCCCAAACCATCGAGTTACCAAAACATTACTAAGCCCAAGGTTTCAAAGAGATGCAACAGTGTGATTACATTTTGAATTTGAACATTTTCAAGCCTTTGCTTCCATTGACGTAATTAACTTTTACACCCCCTCTTTTTTTTTCTTTAGATCACAGCAGAAATCAAATCATCAAGTGTGAGTGATTACCCATGCTTACTCTAAATGGCAGACGACACAAATTACAGAAACTCAGACCAAGACTACAGTAGTTTACAAAACGTAAAACGAGGCTAACAGATATGCCTTCTTTAGGATAATACATAAGAAGGGTTTTAAGAACTTCATATCAATAGCTCATTTCAGACTATGCAGTGCTTTCTCCTCCCTTCCAGAGGTCTGTGAAATAAAGCAGTAAACATGTTCTCTTTAATATTCAGTTCAGTAAGAGTTAGTTGCAAAAAGATTATACTTGCATAAATATAAAAACGCATGATAAAGCAAAATATTTTTAATTAGTAAGCCAATCATAAATAAATTCACCTAAAATTAACAGAAGCAGCAGCTGTGTTCCTTCTACACGGATACTTTTTTTAGCACGTTTTAATAGTCAACTTCATTGTCTAGCCTGGGACAGAACAATTCATCGTTGAGCACTCAACACCTCTGCACACTGAGCTAAGTCTTTTTTTTTTTTTACTTACATTTTTTACATTTTCTTTACAAATGTAATACTTATGTACATTATATATTTTATTTCTACAATTGATGTACTTTACTGAAACTCTACAACTTTCAGAGGGAATTTGCTGAAGTCTTTAGTAAGTATTAATCATTCCTTTTAAAAAGAAATTCATATAAACAACCAACATACATCACTGCCCTTTGACATCTCTGTTAAGAATCTGGATCTGGAAGGGCTTCTATAATAAATGTAAGAAAAAAGGCTTTACCTAATTGTACATTTCATTAAGAAATATCCCACATAGCTACATAAATTCACCAGCTTGCAATAAACAGAGCACCATACCGCTGCACAAGTGGAAACGTGTACAAACCAATTTAAAGTTTACTAGTGAAACAGCTTCATCACTCCTACCACTTTTAGACTGAAGTAAAACTGCAAAATTCTTTTGGAAATGTATACTTCTTTAGCTGTAAAGCTTCCAAAACAGTGCTGGTCACTGTATATTGTCTGAAGAACAAGCATCCACTTTTTGTAACTTCTGATATGCTTCTCTGGGCCCATGCTTCTCTCTGAAGTCAGGATTTTTCTTCTTTTTATTCCTTGTTCACTTACAGATCTGCTGTTGAATATTAAGTAAGAATTCATAATATGAAAAAGCTGCTTCTGTCCGATCCTCAATTAAATGCTGAAAAAAATCTGTTTTGGCAGGGTTCTCATCTCTGAAAAAAGAGAGAAAAATATTTTAGTCCAATCATTGAGCAAAAAATCCAAGGTAAATACAAGCAGAGGGCTAGGTTCTAATGAAATTCTTATTGTTCCTTGGAGTCTAGATTCAGTCCAAAGATACTACAGCTGCAAACAATCTAAAGTTTGGAAAAAACACTGAAATTTGAAATACACTATCAAACAGCATCTTTGAAAGAAGTATAAAATGGTAGAAAAGCAAGTGAAGCAGCATGTAAAATACCTTGTAGAAACATTAAAAAGGAAACAAAAATAATTTTGTTTTCGGGTTATAGTAAAAGGGTTATATTAAATCCTGATAAAGATTTAAAAAAATGCAGAATTTACATCTCTGATTACATGTAATCACAGAATAGTTAGGGTTGCAAAGGACTTCAAGATCATCTAGTTCCAACCCCCCTGCCATGGGCAGGGACACCTCACACTAGACCATGTCACCCAAGGCTCTGTCCAACCTGGCCTTGAACACCACCAGGGGACGGAGCATTCACAACTTCCTTGGGCAACCCACTGCAGTGCCTCACCACCCTTACAGTAAAGAATATAATCTTAATTCCCTTCCCAGTTTTTCTTATTTGGCAACAGAAGAGAGAAGGTAAATGTGTCAAAGATCTAGTATCCAAAATTACTGCCCCAATAAAAGTTTGCTGGGATGCAGCCAGTATTTGCTGGGGCACAGTCCCTTGTACTCTGTAGTACAGCATGCAGTAAAGCTCTGCTATTTACTGTGGTCTCTCAGCACTACTTGCAATTTCAGCAGCAGTTACAATGCCAACAGTAGAAAAGCTTTAGTCCTATGCTTAAACATTATTTGAGTAAGAAAGTCATCATGCTCTCTAAAATGTGATCTCACATCTGGCTCAGTAAACTGAGTACTCTAAAGACAACAAATGAAACATAAACTCAAATATAAGCATTTTATAAAATTTAAACTTCTTTAAGTGGGTGCTTTCATGGTTTCAAAAGGCTACAGAACTTGCCTCACCTGTTGTAAATCAACTGCTGTCCTATGGAGCTCAGTAACAAACACAGACAATTATTAAAACCATCCAGAGATTACTAGCCTTACTTTTTTTTTTTAATACATGTATTGAAATTATTAAAGCTATATCAGAAATTAACTTGGTTAATCCCACTGATCGTAAGGACATCCACTGCTTTAACATATTCTTAACAATATAATAAAACTATGCAACTAATTAATACCAATAAAACTATTAGTTTAATTTGTACTAGATTCTAACATGACCTTTGTTGCTATGAGGTTCCAGATAACTACCATATCAAGTGGAAAGAGGATGTTACTCAGCTTTTTTTCAGGCCAGATATTCCAACTTTTCATCAGTGTCAATTGTAATTACAAGTTGCCAATAATTACTTAGCATCTAACAGAAATACTTACTTTATTACTTGAAGAACTGGATTTAAAGGTCTACTGTCTCTAAGCCAAGATATAAAAGATCGTGTCCTTTCTGAAGAAAGTGCATCTACTTCAGGAAGCTGTGTCTGGTTGAAAAGTAATTGAAGGAAGTCACCATCTTTATTTAAAAACTTGTTTAAAAACTAGATCCTGATAGTCATAACACAATAAAAGGCATAATTTCTATTAAGAAATTATGAAAATTATCATTTTCAAGGCTTACTTTAAGATAAAATTTAATCATATTAATCATTATTTGTTTCTTAATTTCTATTAAGAAATTACCAACAATGCATAATATATACCCATTTTTAGTTCAGCTTAAAGTACAAAAATTCAGTAGTATCTGACCTGTAGGAAGCTGTACATCTTTAACTTAAATTGCCTTTTAAATGTGAAAGATTTTAGAAAGCAAGCTCATTAAAGAAAAAAACACAATCATTTTTCAAAATGCTGCTTTCACAGTTTTATTGCCTTATCTTTCTTTGTCAACCTTACATGTTGCATTTTGCAGTACTGAAAAGATGAACAAAGCATGAAGTGAAATCTGAATTGTAAGCAGATTTCCAAAAATGCAAAGATTAGACTGGACTATTTCATCAGGGAATAAGATGAAAAAAAATAAATAGAATTTAAAAAACTTGAGCCATTCACCGAGCTAAATATACCAACTCTTGGAACAATATAACCTTTTTAGACAATATGACAAAAGAATTGATGCCAAATTTAAAAGCAGTTCCATTGCTACCTTGGTAGTAAATGAACGGAGGACAAAATTTAAAAGTAAAGATAACTTATTTCTGTTAACTTTTTTCAATTGTTATATAGCATCTATTTATAATGAAAATGAGAGGAAAAAACAACTATTGTCCTTCTTTTAACCAAGTTCTTCCTGAAAACTGTCAACTAATTCTTACCACCAGCTGATCAGAGGGTATAAACTGCTAATTCAAGCAAAATACAAAACTCTGAACAAGCAGTCCAGTCTGATAGTAGTCTTAAAGTTCACCATTCTTAATCTGTTCTTGTAATTGTATCTTGTCATTTACTTTACCCTTCTTACCATACAAGCTTTATAAGCAGAAATATCTTCCAATGTGCTTCTATAACGACTAGTAAGTTTTTGGTACTATCTGAATATAACCATTCAATTATGTACTTTTCTGCAGTATCTTAAAAGGGTCCATCATTACCTGCCACTCACTGACATTTTAGAAGTGCTACCCACACAATGGGGGTCTTCTTTTTGACTGCTGCTCTGTTTCATGCACAAGACTATAGGTACAGGTTATAACATAAAATCCCCTCTACCAAAACACACATCCAAGTATCTTTGACGTCCTAACAGCTAAAAGAGTTTTGTTTTAACATTGACTCAAGGCTTGGAAGCTGAACAAAATCTAAGTCTTGCCCTTTACTTACAGGCCTATCACATCACACCATAGACCTGGTATCTTACACCAGGTTTGGAGAACATAAGGCTTCCAAAAAAATCATGATATCAATAAAAAAACTGTGATCTTAATTAACATGCCTGGATAGTTTTTGTATCTATTCTGTGAAATTCCATCCTATTCTTGTGAACCCACATACGTATCCATAAAAATAATAAAAGCAGTAATGTCATAGAATAATTTACTTTCTTTCCTTGAATGCATTTCACAAGTTCTATCTCCCTCTTAAGAAGTTGGGAAGAGGTTAGAAAGTATCCTACTAAAAAAAAAAAAAAAAAAAAATCCTAATTCAGAGTTACATAATTAAAAACTGAAAATGCAGAGAAAATAGATTAAGTATAGATTCCAAATATAAGCACTCTACAGTTCATTAAAACACCTACCATTTTCTGTGGTACTGATGCATAGTTTGGGTATCCAAGGACATCTTTTATGAAGTTGTTATCACAGCTTTTTCCAATCCAAATGTAAAAAATCTGTAAGATGTTAGAAACAGTTTTAGTAAAGGCCTTGCACACATTTTAGAGAAAGAGACAAGTGGTGACATAATTGGAAGGTAATACCTTTCATGCAAATGAGTCACTTGAAAGCTCCATTTGCAATTCATATATACATCTCTATATTCATTATTTGCACATTTACTTATTAATACACTGGTAGCATTCGGAATGAGATCGTTAAATGTCAAAAATTATAGGTAGAAGGCAAATACTGAAAGAATGAGGATGCAGGACACATCTATATTGAACGGTTAATGTGGTAACTTCCCATGTAACCTCCTAAAATAAAACCCCTTAGATTTCATGAAGTCACACCACTGTGTCACTTACTGCACACTGACTTACCAATCTAAAAAAGTCATAGTAAAGCATCAATTATCAAAAACATTAATTATTTCAGACATCTGGAGACAGAAGATAATTCTGACATCCACAGTCAGCCTCTGAACTCATACAAGATTTAAAGCACTCTCTAGACTGCCATTAGAATAGCATAATGTTTTATCACATTTGTCATGCATAATGCCTTATCCAATCAAGTGTGGTTTAGTGTAATTTCTACAAATAACTTATTTGTGGAGGGTGGACAATTCCCTCACTCTTGCAACTCTTACCTCACACAACCCACAAATCACTTACATTTGTGCATAACTGAGAAGGCTGCATCAGTAGAGAAGTGCTTAGGCTGTAGTACACAGAATTTAATAACTATTAAGAGAATGTTTGGAAAATGGAAATCCATTTTTTCAAAAAAAAAGAAAAAAAAAAATCAAGCCTGAAAAAATTCTGAACAAACCCAAACCCCCAGTTGAATGTGAACTCTTGGTATATATTCTGATCAGTCTAGCATGAAAATAAAATTAACCTCTGAAGCCTTAATATGCAACCTAAAAGATACGGCTCTGATCAAAATACGAAAGCTTTCAACTGGGTCACAGATTACTGCAGGTTACCTGTAATGGTGAATCACTACAGTGTTACTGTTAGGAGTTGACTGCTTTCAGTGATTCAGTATGCATCATCTTGATTTTTTTTTTTAAAGAAATGTGCGCAACGGGTAACTTACTGAGCCACAATCCATTAGAAAAGCTCCTTCTCTTGTCAACTTTTCTGCAGACAGCTTCTGAAGAGGTGGCTGTGGAACAACTCTGTCATTTACATGTATTGTACTCTGTAACAAAAAACAATACTCAGTAACTCCAGAATATAAATAAATCCTGTTTATCTTATCCAGGTAAAATAAACCAAGGAAAAAAAAAAAGAAAAAGAAAAAGTTTAGCAAAATTTTGAGGAGTCTCATGTAACAAAATGCCATGTTAGGCCTAAAATGATTATGTACATCAAACAACTGTAGAATGTATTTAAACTAAGGGACACTTTATCACCAAAAAAAAAAAAAAAAAAAAGTGATTTCATCTGTGTGTGCAACATTTCTCATGCTATAGATGCCAAACTCTCAAAAGACCTTAAATTTTCTACAAACAACCTCCTCAGACTTTTTCATTGTATTCAACTTCACTAGAAGTGCTGCAAGAGCAGAAAACCATAAAATCCCACTCTCTATAAAGGTTCACCATTTTACTGTATTCAAGTAACAATGTTCTTTGATTTAACATCCTGCCTGAAGTAATACAAGGGTTTGTCCACAGAGCACTGTGACTGGTCTGATTAAACAATCTGGCTGTTACCAATAAGATTATAAAAAAAAAACAAAAACCAAACCCAACCAAAACCAAAACAACCCACAAAACCAACCAAACCAACCAACCAAAAAAACCCCAACAATCCAAACCCACCTCCTTCCTCCCCAGCAATAAAACCAGACAAAACCAATAAGAAAAATCCCAAATTCCCAGTATTTTCAGATTAAAGCTGCTTCCCCTTCCAATACAAAACTAGGCTGAATTATTTACTAAGAAACTGTGACGCATTCTGGAAATAATGTAGGGAAAAAAATAGCCTGGAGACTCAGCACATCTCCATATGGTAAAAGACTATTTAAAAAAAAATCTATTTAAAAAATTCATACATTACCTCATCAATCAACTTGTCTATCCTGTACAAGTTGGGATGTATCATTTTCATCAAATGAACAAGAGGCTGGCTCTTCATCTGGCACATTGCATATACACGATCATCCAAGCGTGTACTTGTGCCTGTTCTAAATGCTTTCTGTTAAAGAACAGTATGTTGTTACTCAAATAAGCCCTGTATTTTATGTCACATCTAAACATTGCATTTCAGATGTTTTGCAAGTGTCAAGGAAGGTGACAAAGGTTTTGTAAAGTATCTTACTGAGATACATTAAAATCAAATACAACTTGAATATAATACCTTTTAAAAGGGAATCCATTCTCCCTCTTTATTGATGAAGGAGAATACATTTCCCCCCTACTTCATGTAAAATTTGTCTGTGATTTCTCATTTTATTCTTGCCATATGTTACTGACCTATGAAACTGACTGCTGCAAGGTATGCAAAGATACAGGCCCAGAACAGCTCAAAAAAATATTTCCATGGATAAGATTAACTGGTATTTTACTAGCAAGAATTAAATGTTAAGGAAAAGCTTTGGAAGGGAAATATACTTTCATGTTCTATAGCAGGAACTAGGCTCTCATAGTATTAAATTTATTTTGTAACTCTTCCCTACTGGATTTCTTGGATATCCTTTAGAAGCAATTGGTAAATGATCGCTGTGAAAAGCAACACAATGAAGCAAGCACCATATTCTGATTCAATGGGAAATATTCCTATAATCAAAGCTAATATTCACTTCTACAACAAAGTGCATCAGTTGTCTTCTCCCTCGCGGCCAAAAGAATTCTGATTGTGGTTTCTCTATACCCCAGGCTTTTTTAGTTATTGTAAATAAAGACAATAATAATAAAACCCAGTCAAGACCTAAACAACTTATTTTCCCAGCCATTCTTACTACTGTCTTTCACATGGATCCTCTTGATAGTAAATGGTCTGTTTTTTTCCCCATCATCAAAGGTGTTAATTATGGAAGTACCAAAGAAGTCCTAATCAGTGTATTAAAGACTGAAGTAATCACCATGCCAAAGAAAACAAGTTATGATTGGAGCTCTTGCCAAACTTACATAAAGGTTGATTCGTGATAAGAAAAGAAAGAAACATCAGACATGGAAATCTTTTAAGCTATGAGATTTATTCATGACAGAATCCTGCAGCGAGTTCTCTATTTTTAAGTATGATGTTTGCCAATATATATTAAAAAAAAAACAAAATCACCAAGCAGTAACTACTCCTATTTGAACTTTCAACTATATCACTTCAGTTTCTGTAACAGATTTCTCTGTATCTCCATGGAAACTTATTCTCCTTCTTGGTGCTTTAAAGTACAGAGTATATGTGTTGAAAAAATATTTGAAATGGTTTTCCTTCATAAAATAAAATTGAAAAAGTATTAACAAGAACTTCCAACAATCTTTATGCGCAACAACAATTAGCTGCCAAAATCAGAGAAATACTAATTGTTACTATGTACATGTATTTTTAATTGTAAAACAAAATAAGACAAAATATAAAAGGTCCAAAGCCAAGCAAACCATTAAACTTCTCAGGCACTAATTTAAAATAATCTAACATAGACTTTTATGTGAAAGTCCTGGAAGCTTGAAAAGAATAACGCAATTTTCATAATTTTAGAAAAGTGCACACATTGCTTGACCTAGAGCTGAAGAATTCCTCAAATGGAACAATGATTTACATATCAAACATTAATCCACTAGATTATACATACCTGTTTGAGAAGGGCCAAAACATACAGTGGAAACAACTTGAGGGAATTTGGTGCTATTAGCATGGACTGCTGCAGATTCGAGACAGTTGACATGTATGCTGCCAAGGAATCTACCACAGCATTAACTAAGGCATCTCTTGCATCTGAAAGACTAGATGAAACTGAACGATCCACAGCTGTTGGGTTAGAAGGATAAAAGAAGTTAATATAGGTGGCCTCATTCATTCCCTTGAATTCTGAAAATCTCAATTGTGCTTTTGGGTGATATTTTAGGATTAAAAACAAAAAAGAAATAACCCAAACCCACACCAGTGGCCTTAACTATTTTAGGAGAAAACAGGAAGATTGCCCATACCAAAACTCACATTCACAATGCTTAAAAAAATACAGTGTGGGTGATCTCTGCTCCCTAGTCTTGGGGGGAATTTTAAAAAAAATTGTTTAAAGCTATGGTATATACCCGAGACTAAATATAAATTCTGTTTTAAACCTTATGCAAGTAAGTTAGCTGTTGATTAAGCTCTCTGCTCTTCTATGTCCAAGATACGATTTGCAGCAACTTTCCCTCTCCCCCCAAGAAATTTCTTCCATTATTTCAGTGGCATAATTATGATTAGTGCAAATGAAACTTTATCTCTCTCTACTGAGAAAGGGCTGCAAATCCTTTGGCTGGAGGAAGCCACCTGCTGGATTAAATGTGCACTCAAGACGAGATGCTATTTATTTCTTCTAATTTATTTAACCATTAATAGACAACATAGCATCTATTAAAATGCTGCACAGAGCCATGCACATTCAATGGCAGAGATGAGTCTATGAAACAGCTACTTATGATCCAGAAGTAGGGGACAAGTAAGAATCCTCCACCCAGCAATGACAGGATAGAACCATACAAAACTAATGCATATCTCAGATACCTTGTTGTCAGAGGTTCCCTTTTCATCTCCAGTAACTCACTACACACTGTACCACTGTTTAAGTAGTAACAACTACTACACAACTGTATCACTGTTTAAGTAACATCAAATGGTAAAGTTTGATATAACAGCAGTGATGATGACACAAAAAAGTTTTGATTCAAGTATGCTATGATTTTTTGTCCTTTAATAAACTCTGGAGAATAATCTAGAAGACTCCTTTTAAATTATTAAAGTCAACTAAGTATTCAGATTAAGGAATATTTCAGTTGACAGTTTTGGTATAACTTTGATTTTGTTATTTTTAGTATTCTCAGGCTTCCATTCCAACCTTTTGCCACAATACTCAGGCTTCATTCACTACTTGATTTAAATGGCCATCAAAAGTAAGAAGAGAAAAAGATATTTGAAGTTTGAATCTTCCTGGTCTGTACTCACCCATGTTTGCCAAGAGACATACAACTGCTTGTACATCCGCTCCTGCATATACATCAGCCAGTGAACTTACTACAGGTAAGCAAAGCGTGTGCACTCGGATTCGACGTTCACCTAATAAGTAGAGATCATTTTGCAGTATTTCCTGGTAGAGGTGTACTAATTCAGTCATTACAGAATACCTCCTCTCATATAAGATACATCCATTTTGTAAAAATGCACCAATCAGGAAACTGCTGTAACACTCTCCTGTTCCTGTCTCTTCACCTGTTCAAATTATGCAGTGCTCTAAGGCATTCAACTTATTAACGAGCACAAGTTTGTAACGCAAACTAGCACGTAACATCCACAATGTGTCTTGATCCTACAAATGAAGTACACTGATTCCCAGCCCAAAATTTTGTGGCATTTTCCACAACAGAAATTAGCAGCTATTCTTCATGCCCCCACAATGTACTTGCAACTAGCTCTAATCTATCACAGGTCTGTGATTTTGAACAAAGCACATGCCAAACATGCCATGTTGCTTATAACAGTGTGCCTTTGAAGTAAAGGGATCTTGCTGAATCAGCTCTATGCAGGATAGAGATAAATTACATTTCCCCATCAAAATAAAGTTGATAAAGATTTACATTATGTGATTAACTGCCAAGTAGGCTCTTATCTTTAACAAATTTCTGTTAGGGTATAGAGAACAACAAAAGGCCGTGGAATTAGCTGTGTGGAACTAACTAACATTATGTTACATGAAACAACAAAAAGCTGGGTGGCCAATCACTTGAATTTGTTTACCTTTGCTTGAAGTATACAACAGAGCTGTTTGAAAACAAACCAAAGATGTGTCAGTCAGACTTTCCTCAATGGACATTTGTACTGCAAATCCAGCATCAGGATTGACATTGGCAAGGGACAATAAATCAGTAGATCGTACAAAAAAGTTCCCATGAAAAGTGTGTATTGAAAGACCTAGAAGCAGATTAAATAATTCAGAGTGAGGCTACAATAGCATGAAAACCTGTCAATAATTAAAATCCACAGTTCTCAAGATAAGTTTAAGAAAATAGTAAAAATGCTTATTCTAACTATCATGCAAAATCAATTATGTGACTCATTAGACATTTTAGCATGATTCTGTACAGTTCATATTACATTCTGGACACTGAACTGAACAATAGTCTTACACTAGACATGTCAACTTACCTGAAGCAAGATGGTGCCATTTTAAGTGAAAACAAAAACAAAACAAAAGGCAAAAATTAACATAACTTACATAAAAGAAACTATTTGATTACTCTTCAGTGAAAGAGAAATAACCTGAAATCTCATGTTGCTAAACACTAAGTACATCAAAATGACAGCTAACATGCTTTCACCAACTTTTCCATATGTATTAGTATTTCAAACATACCTTTTGTGCATCTTATGCGCATAACTGCTTCAAATCCAATCTTTCTCGTAAGGTATCTTTTAAGGTCTTTTTGCAACTTTTCGGCCTGAGCAGGATTATGGCTACGATGGAAAGATGGATAGTAATAGATGCACCCTGCAGAGTACTTGGACATGCAAGCTGTGACAGAGAAAAAGATATGGTTGAGAAGTAAAACCTAAATGTGAAGTCAGGACACAAAAGCTCTGTCCAACCTTCTGCAAGTCACAGCTATGCTCATCTTTTTCTTGGTATGACCCACATCTGTAAGACAAGAACTGGTCCATACTCAGGGATGAGTCACCCCAATATGCAGTGATCTAATAATAAACTTACTGCAATAAGAATGCTACTTTTGACTGCTAAGACAGGAGTGCATGCAGAAATAGATAACGGTGTAGAGGCAAAATTAAGTGTGCATGCAGAGAGAAATCTTGGTTTAATACTGAAAGATGAGAAATCTTTCCTATCCTCATGATTAAACTTTATTACTTCTTTGCCATCTGTTTCCTCTTCCTGAACAGAAGAGTATCTTCTCTTTTAAAACTGTGAAATCCCAGAATAAACTGTCTGATATGAGCAATCCAACACTTATTTTTTACTGCTACAAACTTCAAAGTCAATTCCTTTGCAGCATTAGCTGCATTTACAAAGTACAAAAACACTGACATGATTTAAGAATTCCCAAAGTAGCCTGTGCTTCTGAAGACAGTGTGGAAAATTGAATGCACACGTGAGGTACTTCTTACCGAGAGAAGCTAGATCAGAATACTGTGAACTTAAGAGAAATAAATCCACAGCAGTCTGCTGGCCTGAACAGTCCAGTGCCAACTTCTTATAAAAATCCGTTGCTGGACCAAGATGATGGACCACCTTTGGTGAATAAATTATACAGGAAAGAGTTAAGACAACAATTACACTCTCTTATAACTTTATGTAGCAAAGACATGCTATTCAGTAGCAAAGTATCATAAGGAAGTTTCCTTTAAGTAATAATTCATAGGCATTTCCACCTGCAGAAATTATTTACCTCAAGCTCGTTATTCTCTTAGTTTGTATTTACAAGTAATTATGATACTTATTGTGCAAGCACATATCCTAATATAATTGATACGTAGTATCCTAATACAACTGCTACAAAGTATCACAACATGACTGCTACAAAGTATCATAATGTAACTGCTACAAACTTTCAAAGAAGTTTCATTCTCATACAAATAACATTCATGTACCTATGCGGCACTTACTGGATGCTGTAAACTACAAGGCTATAAATACAGTAAGCAGTAATGTTTCAGGTCTACAATTAAATATATCCACGCTTTGGTTCAAAGCCCAGGTTGATATTAATTGAGTCAGAGATATTTGAAGCTTCTTTTGCTTGCCAAGAAAACCTATTGACCAAAGGCCCAAAAGACAGCTCACGCACTCTGAAACAATACCATACACACATGTATAAAATAGTGAAGTTAAATGCACATAGACATCAAATAATTAAAATTTAGGGAACTGCTATAAAACAAAACCTAAGAGTTGATTTGCAGAACTACTCAAGTCAGAAAGACACGGCTAGTCCCTAGTCTCATGAGATGAACATTAAAGGAAGTTTTTGCACCTTTGTGCTTGACCTTTGATTGGGATCTTCTCTGGAATGCAAAAGCCCTGCTCCCAAAGATGGTAACTGAGTCTGAAACACGGATATCCGACCACCCGTTGGAGACATCAATTTAAATGCAGCCTGAAGAGCAGGGCCCAACGCACTGTGTGTTTCTCTTGTATTGGTGAACATATTTGGTAATGCATTCAATAGATCTTTTATGAGCTGCAGAACAGATTGAAAGGTGTTTATGAGATTTTGCAAGCTTGAGATTTTCTGCTATTTCTAAAAAGCTGAACTGGAACAACTGGTAGACAAAGAATTCAGCTTAGTTTCAACACACTAAGGAAAACAAAGCAATAAATTTAAAAACTATGATGCATCAAACAAATAACATGTAATACTTCTATAATTAAAAATTAAAAAGTAGCACTGGAATTACATATTATGAAGATAGGCATGAATTCAAAGTTTAAAAGGAACCTCTTTATTTAACTTTTTTCTATATTTAATGACATGTTTTCAGTAATCGTACCTCTTTGCTTTCATGGAGATTTACAAGTAAACTATCTGGTGTAGGTAGGAAAATATCTGTAGGGAGAATGGAAAAAAAGCATCTTAGTAAAATAAACCCCCAAACATCAAAATAGAATAAAATACTTCACTGCCCACTGCTATACGTACCATAAAATACAGCCTACTTTTCTGATATATGTATTAGAGAAAATAATACAGTCTATACAAAGCTTGTTTTATTCAAAGCAAAATCAAATTTCTCTTTTTAAAACACCACCTACTCTGTAGTTACTATTATTTTTTAAAAATATATTTAAATATATTTAAAAATATATTCCCTTTACATTCAGTAAAACTGACATAATTTTGGAATTTCTCCAGAATATTGGAGAAATTCTAATCTTTCTTCTGGGGGAAAAAAATAAAAAAAGAAAAACCAGAAAACTAGTTCTTAAAAAATCTAGTTTCCATCTTTTTCAACTTACCATCGATATCTGAGACAATCAGCATCTGAGGCTGCGATAAACCTTCTTGCAAGTTGTAGAACTGAACAGTGCTGTCAAACGTTATGAACCCTATCCTTGTTCTCGAGTCTCCAGGCAGCCTGAAGCATTAAAAAAAAACACCACAAAACCCAACCAATTAAACTCCAAATTTATCTCTCAAGATACATAAGTAGGATATAGCTCCTGCTGATGTTAGCAGAAACTCAGCTCATGTATCAAGGGTGAACAAAAGGAAGGAGATCTGAAACATGAATACAAGTAATAATTCTTCAGTATTTTCTAAAAAGGTGGGATAGTGATACCATTTACAGGACTAAGTGTTACAGATAAGCACTCACGAAGATACTGATGGCTTTGTTCCAAGTTGGAACTTAGTGGGTTTGTTTAATCATTACACTGACATATGACAGAAGGTAGCCGTTTCAGTTTTTAATGGAAAATAGTTTGTTCTGCCTTTTTTTAATTAAAACTCCACATTTACTAACATAGTTAAAGAGCACTTACAGCCCTAAACCAAAATCCAGTCTCTCTACAATGCAATATACTTATTTCTCATGTGGCTCATGTTCCTATATATGGCATTAGAAATACATAAAGAAAAACTGAATGAGATTTCTCAAATAAAACAGCAAATGCTGAAAACCATGATGGTGAACAAAAGCAATAGTGGCTAATACTGGTTTTACCATCTAGGTATACAAATTAATTGGATGCATTCCTGTAGACTTCGTATGGAATTTTATGCGTTTTCCTAAAATAATTTAGCATGTGTCTGAGACTCACTGTATGTTTTGATATCTTTATTGGAAATTAAAATCAAGTTTCCTAAGAAACGCTTACAGAAAACAATTTTCAGAGTGAGATCTCAACAGGACGCAAATTAGTTTTCAAAAGACACAAACAGTAAAGTTTATTAACCCATGCTCACAAAGCACCACCACCAATCCCATACATGCTGTTCCAGTATAAAAGTGAGAACAGATAGAAAGCAGCACAGGTACATCTGTGTAGCTGTGATCTGAAAAAGACCAAACTGAAAAATCAGACAACTGGTTGTCAGACATTTCAGACAGTCTCACACGAGTCACAACATTCCAGGACATAGCACCTCAGCCATTTCAGACGAAGAACAGGCCAATTTAATCCCTGTAATTTAGTTATTTTTGTTGGCCTTGTCAAGGGGAAAGACTGTAGCTTATAGACGTTTGTACAATCAGCATGTTGCTAGAATTTACAGCAACATATACTTTGCATATAAATAAGTAAATTATTTGCAGATCCACCTTTAACCACCAGGAGGGAAGAAAGCTCTCATCATGTAAACTGCTTCAACAGCTGTTCAGGTTTTTTTAGAGATGCAAGTTGCACATCAGAATCTCAGGCAGCAGAACTTCTGTCCTTTAGGGACAGAATATCAGAACACTATACGCAGGTTTTCTACAGAACTGGATGTTAGTATTGTTCATAATAACACATTAGCTAATTTGAAAAGTTTATTTATATTCTTACTTGTCTAGGTTTTCCAGCAATGACTGGCAGACTATTGTCAAATATCCAGCCTCCACTGCATTATGAGATACATCTAAAACAAATAAATATACCGCAGGCTGAGGAGGACGAAGCTACAAAGTAAAAACATAAAAATAAAAAAAAGTTCAAAAATCATATTTAAAGAAATTTTAACAACGATTAGTCATTTCAAAGGGAAGTGGGAAAAGGGAATACTTAGAAAAAAAGCAAGGTATACGTTATACAGTAAAACTGATTTACTAACTAAAAGTCATGTGGATAGATTTAACTAAAATTCCTAGTGCTCAACAGTTCCCATTTGTAATAAGTATATAATGCTGTGCTTCCAAACAGAAATTCGGTATTTTAGTCTCTCCTTCCAAGAGTCAACTCAAACACGACTCGTAACAGATACAGAATTCACTCTTCAAAATACATTCTTTCAGTATGTGCACAGTGCAATCAATTAAATGGAATTAAAATATTCTACCTACATACTTCTCCCAACCATGTAATAAGCTGTATTTATTCACTGCCAAATGTCTTGGCCACAGTACTTAAATTCAAGAAATCTATTTCTGCTGTTATTAATGTCATTATGAGCAGGGCCTTTTCTCAGGCCTTGTTTATCTTTCTTGGAGACAAGACTACTACCACAGTAATTGTAGATTGACTCCTAGTTAGAACAATTTCTATCATAATTATCAACAAAAAATTTGAACCCAAATTAATTCCCTCATTATTCCACTGGTCTTTCAAAATGTCTTCAAAATGATGGAGAAACCCAAAATCCACACTGCATCAAACTTAAATCAGGCTAATGCTACATTAAACTACAGTGGACAACTATAAGCATTGCAATTGCATCTAATTATCCACATTTACTAAAACTCAAAATAAGTATTTTAACTATTATATGGTCTTAAGAGGACCTTCACAGTAAAATTAACACACACCACTGGAGCATTAAGCAGCATTAATTGCAAATGCATTTATATTAACATGCATTACTAATAATCGGTGTTGAAGCTACCATGAAAACTTTTTACCATATAGTCTGAGGAAGCAATGAATTCCACTGTAGAATTTTGGACCTCTGGCCGTTTGTGAGGCTCTCCATAAGATCGCGTCAGAGGATTATACATAAATTCTTCAGGAACTATAAACAACAAAAAAATTTGGGTTTATTTTTTCAAGAAAGTTTATATATCTGTCAGCAAATAAAAAGTATTATGGCAGCCAAAGGAAAGGGAAACTAATGCAGACATTTCAACTATCACTAACAACAGAAAAAGACTTACATTAAGGATACATAAAACAAAGGAACTTTTCAAGTATCTCAAGCAACAGCAAAGTTAACTGGAAACAAAAGAAGGCCTATTTCAAAAAACAGTAGCTCGCCAGCTTTAAAACACCAATGCAAATAGAGCATTTCACAATAACAACAAGCTTCAACTTCTACCGTTTCTCATAAACTCTGGCCTGGATCACAGACAGTAGCAGCTGTTAACATGTTTCTATTTGTATGTTGCAACAAAGTCAATGGAGTAAATTGATTCTATTATAATCAGGATAATATGATTACATTTTCTCTGTCACCAAGAAAACTGCAAAACAACCTTTTGCTTCAGAAAATGCACAGAACATTTGACTTATGATCCAGAGCTTTTTTAATAAAAAGCAAAACCAAAACCCACCTAAGGAACGCTGTCATTTTAATCTACATTTTAATCTAAAGCATCCCATGGACTGATATAATGCAAATACTTGAAAGAGATTTTATTAATGCAAGCTTCTCTTCCTACAAAGACTCACCATCATTAACTCTATAGCACAGATTGCATTTCCACCTCCTTTGATCAATGAAAGAAACAAAAGGGTTGATATACGTCCTGCAGGATCTGCATCTCACTATTGTACTTGATGTTATTACTGGTAATTGCTAAAAAGAAAGAATGGAAAACTGTAACAAAGGTACACAATCATTTTATAGAAAACATTATTATGCAGTACTGTGCATAAAAGCTTCATAAGACTAGATATTCTATTTCAGCTAATTTTCTTAGAGTAATTATGATGTCCATTAAAAACCCCTTCCCTTTAAAATCCAGAGAAATAGTATTTATTATCTTAATCCAATCACACAAATCAAAAGTTGAAATGAGATCTTTAATGAAATTACTTTAAATTACACAGTTACAATGACACAGCCACTATAGTAACAGGAATAATGAAAGACAGGACAACTTTGTGTGATTAAACATGACAGAGCAAACCTTACAGTAAGAGCACACATCATATGAAAAGAAGTCATAGCAGACAGTTATTTACCTTTTCACATAAATACAAATAAATTTAAATGGAGAGGGGCTGATTAACACTTATGAATAACCTCACATTGTGTTTACCTTCTATTGACAGCATTTACCATGGCAGTAACACATTAAACATAAACACTTGTTTCCAAGAGGGCATTGTAAATACCTTTCCGAGAGGTATCTAACAGTTCTGAGCCCAACACAAGAGTAGTAATTCAGAGCTTCAGAGAACCACTGGCAAACAAGGATTTCCAAGAATAAGGAAATAATTTTGAAGGACTTGTCCAAAACTTTTCCCTCACGAATTAAAACGAGGTAGCAAATCAAGGTTTTATTTCTCCTCCTCCTAAGTCCCAAATAACTTAGGCCTTAGAGATCGGTATATTTTATTGCCTGAACAAAAATAAGACAAATGTGTATATTAAGTACATACATTAAAAAAAGGAAAAGTAAGCTACTCTACCGTTAGGTCTCTGAAGGGATGTAGCAGCAAACCTAAAGGAAGTTTAGCTTTGTTTAACAAAGCCTGTGTCTGTGGAATATTTGTCAATGTACATCGAAATGAACTGAAAAGAAAAACAGTATGTTGAAAACAGAATTTTAAAAGACGTTTAAAACATTGCGTTAACACCTGATCTTAAAGAATTCTGAAATTTAAGAAATCCTGTATTATAAAGCTGATTTAATAAATAAAAACTAATGCATCACGGAGATTAAGAAAAAGCCTTCTAAAGAAATTAAACAAAAATATATTCCCCTGTTCCCCAGTTTAGTAGTTCAGCAATGAAGGTATATCAAACTTAAAATAAAGAGGTAAAACTAATTTAGGTACAACGCTCAATGTAAAATGCTGTATTTTTGAATAACTACAAAGAGTTTTTTAGGGGGATGAAGGAACTAAAGAAGGAATACAGTATTTGCTAGTTCTCAAAAAATAATATTGATAAAACAGTACAAAAGGATCTCAAGTACTGAAAAAGTAACAATATTTTCTTCTGCTTAAAGTGGAAGGTGAGCTTAAAAGATAAAAAAAGGTCATTAAAAAAATCCCAATGCACAAATAGTGCTGTCCAAAGTGTTCCACACATTAGAATCACTTTGAGACCCCCCATTTTGTGATTTCTGTTTTCTGAGGGGACATGCATTGCCACTACGGTAGTAAGCTGAGTTTGTGTGGGGCGATGAATAAAATTTATTTTGTAATTAGAATTAAGATTTTTTTAGGGCCAGCAGTTTCCATTGTATCTAGCTGCACCTGAGTTGGGACAGTAAAAAGTACTGCTTAATGTTAACAGGAGGTGAAAGGATAATTGTAATCGGGATTACAATTTTCACAGTAAAATGTGTTCAGAGTTTATTCAGTGTACTTAGACGTGATCATCATAATTTTCTGGAAAAAAGTCCTATGCAATATTATAAAAATATTCTATGAGATGTACTGCATGACAATAAGGAGTTTATTAATAGATTTTTTTCTTAACATGGATAAAACAAAGCAAAGACTAAGCAGATCTGATGTTGTAATAAGTGAGCCCAACTCAATGCATTCTGATGGCAGCATGATTTCAACCTTTATATAGGGATGTAGAGGATAAAGTTATTTTCAAGTGAGTTATATTAGGTCATTACAAAGATTTAAAGTCAGGAGTCATTTTAGACTTTTTTGACACTACACATAATTATCAGTCACTGGAAAATGCTGTTCTAGACACAGTACACTTACTCTGGACTGCAGTTTAATTTCCTAAGTTCAGAATTCAAGTTAGGCACAGGGGCTGGAACTGAAGATACAGGCAAAATATTTCTATCTTGTGTGAGGTTTACTGGTCTCAAGCTTTCTGGCTGCTGACTATGCTGTAAACTTAACCCTCCTATGGAAGAGGACAGCTGGTTCACACCTGGATATTGCTGAAAAAAAGTGAGAGCATTGCAAACGGGTAAACACACAGTCATGTTTAAATAACAACCTTAAATCTTCCTGTAATCCCAATTCTTCCAAACATATTTAAAAAAATACAGCAGTAATTAGTAATATACCCAAACAAGAGAAGAGTTTTATGGTAGAAAATAAAAAAATGCTAAGACACAACTGACATAACAGCCAAGTAAGTATCACTGGACAAAATTCAAATTTATTATACAAATCAACACTGGAGATCACACATAAAACTTCAAGCTTCCCAGGCATAAGAAAACAAGTTACTAGAAGGCTGACAATATCCCCCCTCTCCCCCCAGAAGGTTACAATGTAACTTTTCCAAGCTACAAAAACTTAAAAAGATATTTATTTTTAAATTAAAACCAAAACACTATAAAAGAGGAGAAAAGGTTAAGTTGGAATGCACACTTGAGGTCTGGCTGTCCAACACCCAGCTCAAGCAAGGCTAACTTCAAAGTTAGATCATAGTCTTGCCCAGCTGAGTTTCAAAAATATCTAAGGATTGATGACTTCACAGCACGATCTGTTCCCCACTCCTATTCTGAAGAATTTTCCTTTATAGGTCCAACCAGAATTTCATTTGCTGCAACCAGTAATTACTGGGTTTTGTTCTTTTATTTTGTACTCCTGAAAAGAGTCTAACTTCTCTGCCCTTCTTCTGCATCTGCATTTTGCCTCAGTATCTGCCTCTTCATCAGATTTCACTGCTCTTAGGTGACTCACATGTGCATCAGGAGCCAGGTGACTGTACTTGAGTGCTTGCTCCTCTCTTTACCAGGAAAAAGAACAGATGGAGGCAACCAGCTGTACCACACACCCAGCACAGGCTCTGCACAGCTCTTTCCTCTGGACCCTATATCTTGCTTTTAAGGTGATTTAATGCTTGAGATCATAGCCCATAGTGGCACTCTGATCAAACTCATTTTTGCTGATGAAGTACTTCATCGTGTTTCTTCATGGTTTCCCATCAATAAACTACAGCTGTTTGAAACCCCAAACATTAAAACTGTGGATGCTGGTAATAAGTGGTGAAGCAAAATTGTTAAGTGTAACTTTTTGGAGATATACTTAAAATTTTAATTCAAAAGCATTCTAATAAGAAGTTAGGATCCAGAACTATGATATCAATATTACACTTAACATTTATAGTCTCAGAAATTATAAAAAATAAAATATGGACACATGCAAAAAAAAAAAAAAAAATATCCCGTAGAAAACACTTTCCCCATGCAGTTACTTCATGAAGTAACTTTGAAGTTAAAAATACAAACCTGTGTATAGTGCTGAAACCCAGGATGGTGTCCTGGATTACTGGGCTGCACAGGAGTAGGTGCGGCGTTTTGGTAGCCAGGCTGCAGTGTTGGATATCCGTAACCAAAAGGCTTAGAAGCTTTTGGTGTTTGTGGGGCTGATGAAGCAGGAACTGGGCTGCTGCTCACAGAACGTGTCTCTAGAAGAACAAACAAACAAAAAAAAAAAGCAAAAACCCACAGGTATTGAATTTTTTTGAAGTATTACTACTTCTTTTATAATTTAAATGTCATCCTAAATGCTTAACCAACAAAACTTCCATTTTAAGTTTTTGCATTAAGCTGTGTATCTTCACTGACTAAATAAATTATCAGTTACTGCAATTAGGCTGTTAAAGAGGGTATACATGGGAAGATGATCATAGGCCTAGGCAGCTACTAACAAAAGGCTATCTTATCAAACAAAAACAAAAAAAATCAATCAAATCAACAGATCGAACAAATTTAAACTTGATGCTATTATTCTTTATGCCTTCAGGATATCCTGATATCCTTGATATTTCAAAACTTGAACGGCATATCAACTATTACCTGTAACTTGTTAAAACAATCAGGCATATAGTATAACCTAGAGAAAGATGCTTGCTTTCACATGAAGCATAATTTCAGCATTACCCTCAATTTTGCAATGGAAAGTATGACTTATGACGCAGGGAATTTTTATCAAATGGTTACTTCAATGTAAAAACTGTGAAGAGTGATTAAAAAAGTCAGGTATGCTCTCTCTGCTGACTGCCCCCATGCTGTTCATAAGCATTTCCTTCCACCTACTTGTTAATTAACAATAAGCAGCACTCAGAATAGAAAAAAAAAAATCATAAACAGTAAATATGTAAGTCTCTAAACAAAAATTTTCATAATGAGTATGTAATAAACTGCTTACCTGGATAGCCACCTCCTTCCAGGGCATCATAATTGTTCAGAACAGGAGAGGCACTGCTTGTAGTAGAGGAACTATCAATTGCTGGGAGGACAAAAATAATTTAAAGTTAGGTGCTTCAGAAATAGCAAATTTTTGAGAAATAAAGAGACTGAGATTTTTTTCCTAAGAACTTTGGTAAGAAACCGTCAAGAAAGTTCCTGGGAAAAAACAGCACTTTAGCCCTATAACTTGACAGCTGTTACTACTGCAAAGAGGAGGGGGAGGAAGAGAAACAACTGATGTGATACTAAAGCAAGCAAGCAAGCAAGCACATGCCCAAGAAGTAGTAAGAGAGATCAATGGGAAAAGGACAAAAACAACGAAAAGAGTTGTTTCTTGAGATAAAAAATATTTTCTATTAAACTGTCTAGGCTACATCAACTGATGCCTTGCACAATCTCTGTCATGACTTCCTTTGTAACTGCAACCAACAGAAGACTCCTATCGTCTTCAGAGTATGCACCATCCCCACCTTCTAGCAAAACTGGCAAGCATACAATTCTTTCCTCCTTTCTGTAGTGTTGCAATTCAGAGCTTGTTTTGTTTTCAATGTAAAGTTTCTGTTTTCCGTAGAACTTGGTAAGAGGTCCCAGAATATTACTTTTGGTAGAGGAAAAGGTAACTATGTAAAGAGTAACCATGTAAAAAAGTAAGTAACAAGTAAATAAGTTAACTAGCCAAAAGTAAAAAAGCACATAGATGCATACATGGTTGTTAATACCAAAGAGACACCTAATGCTTAATTTTTAGTTCACTCTATGCATATAACTAGAATGTCTTACTGTCAAAATACTGCAAACAAAAAAAATATTTAAAAACATTTCTTCAAGTGTGACTTCACATACATTTCCAAAGAGAAAAGGCCAAAGACATTAAAACACCCCAAGCCATGAAGTGCCACAGAAAAGGAGTATATTTAAGATTTCAGAAAAGACAATTATATATATAACTTTTGTGACAGAACACACTTAGAAGAGATTTACTGATACTGTTGTACTCAGAAGGATCAGCTGTGACCATACATCCTACTGTGAAGCTGAAAGTATATTAGGGGAGAAATTCAGTGGGGGAACATGAGAGATTTGATCCCACTTCAACTGAGATTTCAAAGTTAAGAGACCCCTGCATATGGAAACATAAAGCATCCCTGACATCTGGGACACACATTAATATCATGGTGACAACGTGACTGTATAGATTATTTTTGAGCATTTTGCCTTTAAAGCATTCAGCTAAGAAATAGAAAACTACTCCAAAAACCCCAAAACACTAACAATGCATTTTATTTTAAATATATTAACACTGCAAAACTAACACAATGTTAGTTTTCAGATTGTTCTTCACTGTAAATTTCCCTTTGACCTTGAAGTTTATAAAAGAACATAACTGCAAGATTCATTTTCCTACCAAATTTAATCATTCCTTCTATTCTAGAAGCTTAAGGAAACAGGATTTGCTATTTTTATCCTGAGCTATTTGCTATTTTATCCTGAGAAACACAGCTTGTAAAGGTTTGGGAAGTCCTAGTACACAAAAGCCAAAATAATGCTTTTATTATTTCAAGAAGATCAAGATTTAAGAATTTTCAAGAAGTACTTTTTTTGTCTGACCAGAAGCTAGTTCTGCATTTCAAAAGACATACCAAGAGGTTATAAGCACAGTTGTGAACATATAAAACACTAGTTCAAGCTTTCTGATTTCACCGCTATTTCACTCTTTACAGAGTTCTTCCCACAGTAAATTGCATTCATAAACTCACATCCACCTATAATTTGATGAGTTTGCTCTTTTCACTAGGAAGACATTAATGATAGTGATTTGCAAAGAAATATTATAGACTTCCCAAGCTCTGCCAGAAAAGTTAACAGAAACCAATTTGACAAATATATGAAAGAATATATTTTTAAAGCATGCTGTAAGTAAAAATAATGCAAATTAGTCATACTTCTACTACTACTACTACAAAAAAAAATCTATGTATCATTTCTGACATACAGAAAAGTTCCAGTTAGAAGGTATAAACTCAGGTATTTTGAACCACAAAGTCTGTCTAATTTAAAATAAGAAAGTGAATCCTATTTTTGAATATCTCACATACTGACTGAAGACCTGTCACTTCCAGTCTTGGCTTCTAAAGAACTTTCAGATTTTGTAAGATATTCCTCAAAACTGTCAGACGTATAAGAATTACAATGTGTCCTATTCTACTTTCCACTGGAAAACAAGTATTTGACCCAAAACCAGCGAGAGTTATACAGCTTACTGCAGACCAAATGTGGCTTCAAACTCTACAGTGGTCACATGTGTCATGGAGATCTCACAGATGCTCCAACAATAAAAAACCCAAGATCTTCTACAAAATCAAAGAACAGTTTTCCTATGCTTAAATTAAGCTATAACAGCTGTAAAAGTTTATTTGAGCATAATAAGGACCAGACAAGAACATATTGCAAAGACAGAAAAAATGTTTTAACACTGCTTAGACAAAAATAATACTTAGAACATGCTTTTACAGTTGTTATTTTACCAATATAAATTTTGCTTTCAGAGTTTTCAAGAACTCTTTGGCAACATATAAGATCTAACTGGTAAGAGTGATAAAAAAGTGAGAAGCTACACAAACACAAGCAAACAGACGTCCAACACCTATTCTTCATAAAAACAGTACCAAAGCATGAGCTAGAAACCTGTCTACAAAATGTAGTTAGGATGTATATTAACTCCAGTGACAGGGCATAAAAACAGAAAGCTTACTGATCAGGTAGCCTACATATTGAACTTGTGTGTCCTTTCACTCTTTCGTGTAAGATAAATTTAAATACAATGACAGCTCAAAGGTTACAGGCTTTATCAAAGTACAGGACTTGAGAAAGATGGGAGGGAGTATGAAAACTTTGGTAGATTTAGGAAACAAAGTAAGGAAACAAAGGTTGCAATTGCTAAAAAAAAAAAAAAAAAAAAAAAACCAAACCAAAACCCAAACCCCTTACATTTACATTGATAGAAACCTTTGCATAGGATTAGGCAAAAAAAATCAGTAAGTAGTTCTACAATAGAAAAACCACCAAAAGCCAGAATGCTCTCCTGTCTTTTTTAGACTACTCTTTAGAAAGCAGAATTCAAACAGCAGCTGTACCACAACAGCCAAAGCAAATTTTATATCCCAAAGTAGGATTGCTTTCTAGCTGTTATAGTCTAATTAGACTCATTACTTTAGAAAAAAAAAAAAAAAAGTATCCTTAGATTTAAAAAGTGGAGTTATTCTAGAGTTCCTATCCATAATTTAATACCAATACTGAAGCTTGTTGAAAGATCAATTGTGTTACCACACAAAGGAAGACACTGAATCAATTACCTGAAATAGCCAGAATTACATAGGATATGCAAACTATCCTAATACCTTTGCTCCCCTAGGATGGGGGTAATAATATCACTTATATTGATACTACTGCACCCTCCAAACATTGTCTTTCTCTAGCTAGAACAGTAAGTGTCTTTGGCTGAAAATGCCTTCCTCCTAGGAAAAACAACAACAGCAACTATTTACTTCTAATGTTCTAATTATTCAACATAACAGTTGAATCCATATTATCCAAACGGATAACATGAATCCACCACACTATTTTTGACTTGGCTGTCATCCCTGTTTTGCTCCATTCTTCATGATATCTTGTGCACTAAGCTATTTTCAAAGTACCCTAGTTTTATATTTAAATACAACTCAGAATTATATGGCACTGCTTTTTTTTTGTGCTCAGCTACAATATGAATTATAAGCTTAAAGTAAAAGTTACAAAAGTTTGCTATCCCCAAACTGCACACACAAATTGGAGTAACATATCAGCACAAGGTACATGCAATTGCAGATACTTCCATCTGTCAACACAGGTAGATGTCTAATGTTTAATCTCAAGAAGCTTTTTACAGTGTTACCATGCATATATAGATTGTAAATGCTTTTCTTTAAGTTGAAAGAAAACGTTAGCATTCAAGAAACTAAGGTGGTGAGAAACATCAAACTCAAAGCCAGACCGTTCTGACAAAATACAGGCAGAATCCTTGCAACCATGAACGTAGCATTTCAATCAATCAGGACAAACTGCTTCTTAAAAAAATAAAAAAAATTTAAAAAAGTAAGCAAAAGTTCTTAAGTTCCCTACAGAACAAAGACGTTAATACTAAACCCACATGCTTGAGACATATCTCAAGAAAAAAAAAAAAAGCAGCACAAATTAATTTACTGTCTTAAAAATCACACTTATTATCTTTCTATATTTACTTTACTATCTTAATTGTAAGAGTTCCCTATGCGTAAGATGAGAAACGGGTAAATACAAACTAGTATCTAGTTGCTTAACATAAGCAATTACCAGTCTAAGTTCTAGAGCTAGTTACTTTAAGAGTTTAAAACCTACTGCAAATCAAAACACTAAAAATAAGGGAGACTTGCAAGTTGTGACTATTACTTTGTTAGCTATATAAACCATCTGATACTAATATGAGAAAAGACAACCACTTGCTGACTACTATTGAATTCCTTTTTGTTACTACACTAAAAACAGCTGAGAAACTTCTAGTTAACTTGATATATGACGCATCAGAGTGACGTTTTAAAGGAAAAAACGTTTCAGGGGATGGAAATATGGAACATGACTTGAGTAGGAAGAGAACAAGATACTGGTGTAAAGCTAAAGCCAACCTGCTTCCTCATCCTCCTCATCCTCTTCCTCATCATCTGAACTTGATGACAAGGGAGCTGGTGCAGAGCTAGCTTGATTATTAACATATCCACCATACTGCATGCCTGTGAAGTGGAAAGCACAAACATAAGAATCAGACAGACAGGAAAGATGAGAAATGAAGTCACAAATCACTGCATTAAAAGCAAGAGAAATTAGCCGTTCTAGAGAAAATCCCAACATGCGAAAAGTTAGATCTACAACCCTAGACTATAGAGCTATATCTCATATATGAACTATATTAGCAGTACAACAAAAGCAGTTTTTAGTGGGCTAGTTTAGCAAAGTATTAGTACCAGAGGAAACTTCATATATATGTGTGTGTGTGTGCATGTATATCAGGAAGTTAACATACAGGGACTTTTTATACATGTATTTAGTATCAGTTTGTCCACTGGAATACTTTCAGAAGTTAATACCTAGAACAAAATTAACTCCCTCCTAGACAAATTTTTATTGTGCTATGAAAACATTAATATTGAACTTTTGCTTGGCACATCTGTCCCTTTTAAGACAAGAATAATTCATGCTGGAATTCTGAACAGTGTCAAAAATTAATGAAATATACTGCTGCTGAAATATGCGAGAGTACAGACGTACCTCTGCAACAGAGCCAGTGAAATTTAAGATGGGTAAATACGAAAACTTGGTTAGTCTTATTTTTAAGTTAATTCCTAAATTCAGGCTCATAGACCCATATTTAAGCACCTAAACGTATTATTCACTTTAAAGACCTGGTGACAATGCAACAATTTTTAACACTGTTACCTCCAAATAATAATCTATAAGGTTTTTTTGGTAGTCATTTGGGGTTTTTTGGTTGCTTGGCTGGGTTTGTTTTTTCTTGGTCTGGTTTATATATATTTTTTTTATTATTTTTTTAATTTGGGGGGGGGGTTTGTTTCATTTTGTGATTTTATTTGGTTTTGTTTGTTTTTTTAATATCTACCTGAACATGTGAACAATACACAAAAGCAACACATACAGTATTTTAAAACGGTAAAGCATGCAGCAATGGCTTAGAACTGATTTTCTACATTACTCATTATTGATGCAATTTCAGCACTTCCAAGAAATCTTAAGTTTTTCTTTTCACAAGGTAGGGTTAGCAAGGATTTTAAATGGTCTGTAGTCATATTTAAATACATGCAAATGACTACTGCTTCTCTTAGCAATCCAATGGATTGCTATTAACAAGAAAATATCCTAATTCTTCAAAGCTCTTTAAAATTGTTCAGACTTTTGAGAACTTGGGATTTTTTTTTCCCCTGTGCACTGTGGCACCATGAGTGTACTTTAACGTTACAAAGCACTACGGAAGTGTCATATGTTATGCATAATCTAAAACCATCACAGTAATAATCTCCCATCCACAACTTATTATCAACTCTATCAACTTGTATTTTACTTAAAATACAGGCTAAAAATGCTGTTAGTTTAATGGATTTTTAAAAAGGTTTAGCAAATAGACCCAAGAGGACCACTTCAATTTCACTTCTGGAAAAACAACAGAATGTAGGTGAAGAATACCTATTCAAATAGTGTGAAAAAAAAAAGGAGCAAAACCGTATCACTGTATTCTTGAGAAGCTGAACTTTCATACAGAAGTTAGTGAGACTGACATGATTACATTTACTCTACTGCATTAATACTCATTCGATTCCAATCGAGTTTCTCCACAAGTAGTCACAATGATAAAGACGCAAAAAAAATAAAGCCAAGTGTGACCTAGGAGGTACAAAGCTTCAGTTTCTTCATACTGCTAAAACACTAACTCAAGTGATTCATAGGACTAACTCAAGTGAGTCATAGTCCCATCTTTTATGAAGGCTATTGGATGCACTTCATAAGAGATTTAAAAAAAAAAAACCCCAAACCCAATATTCTCTGCGCAAAACCAGACTACAGCCAAGGAGGCTATGTCTTTTCTCAGGCCTGGGATTGCTACGGAGGAAAAAGACAGAACAACTGCATTATTGTGGAGGAAAACAAAACAACTTAAATAATTAACATGCAATTAAAACAGAAAAAAAGTCAGGATGATAAGAAGAAACACACTTGATGGGCACAGTGAGAGAGTGCAAAGACAGACCTCTAACAAATACCATGTACAAAAATAGGAGAAGAAAGAAAAATCTAGCTGCAAAGGGCATACCAACGCAAAAATTCCAAGCACGGGCAGATGAGACGAGACTGAGTTAGTTATTTTACTAATATTACTTTGGAGTCTTTGGAATGCTTTTTGGAAGAGAAAAAAAAACAAAACAACCAACCCAACTTCTACTAAAACTCCCACTTTTCCAGTCACTGGTCACACACATGACAGATGCATGTGGTCAGAAAGAATACAGAAGGAGATTAAAAAAATATGCTGGTGACATAGAAGTTTAGGAATCATGGACTATATTACTATGAATCCTCTGACTGGTGTGACTTGTAACATCCTTATGAGTTTGCATAGATTATTTATATTCATTGCCAGCAGTACTACAAATTTCTGGCTTTAGGATACTCCTTGCGCTGTGCTAGCACTACTGTCCAGGCACAAAAAACATGAGAACTGATCTGACTGAAAAATAACCTAGTTTAAAAGTCATTCTCAGCTGGAAATGCATCCCATTCTGTTCTACTGCCACCAGTAGCCGATCATGGGAGAGAAAGCAACTGAAGGCCAGAAATGGGTGACTGAAAACAGCAGTTCCAAGGCCAGAAATGGATGACTGAAGACAGCAGTTCCAAGTGCCACCACGTGCCTAACCATGATTTCTGTTGTGACAACTAAGTTCTGCTTAGTTTCTTATATAGAGTTACTAATAATGTGAAAATCTCCCACCCTTAGAAGCACTAAAGCTTACTTTGAAATCATTATTTGAGTGAATTACTTCAAGGTCTGGCTTAAAATGTAACCATGTATTTAAATTGTCACAGATTTCTTGCACTGGAAACTTAGATAACAGCTACCAATGTACCTGTAATATAATAACCTACTGTGTTTTACAGACCCTAGAAATATAGGCGGAAGGACACAAAGGGGTAAACTGGGCTAAGAACTCATTTACCTATGAAATAAACTAACTATTTAGTTATGCTTCATACCATGAAGGACTTACAAAACATACATTTTATGTGGCTTAAATTCCATAATGGAGCCAGACTGAAAATTAAATAAACACATGCAACAATAAACTATATTCGGAAGATCTTTAACTGGCTCTCTACCCACAACACACATATATTCAATGAAGTTAGCATGGTATTAAGATCTTTAATATTACAAACAGTAGTCCTTACAAAAACGAATCCTACTTCATTCTTAAACTCAAAAACTCCTGACATCTTTATATTCCTCACACAGGTATAGAGCTGGTTTTAAAGTGTGCTTATACACACAGTGCATTATTATTCACTTATATGGAAGTATTTGAATTCAGTGCATTTGGTAGTGACCACAGTGATTTTTATTTAATGTACTAAGTATTCACGCATTATATAGGAATCACTGCAAGAACATATGTATTGCACATCAAGGCAAGCACAGTTGAACAGCTAAAATTGTTTCTAATGAGAAAAAGTATGTGATTTCTTTGGAAGATGAAGCAACAGTTTTTCCTAAGAAGCACATCTACAGTATAAATTCTACCTCATACCAAAGTCAACCATGAAACTGTGCAAGAGCCAAGCACAGTTTCAAAAACTGATTTATCATTTTCCTCAAAACGTCACACTGTACATAGGACTTTAAAGCAACGAAGAATTATCTTTTTGCCTGTAAGATATGCTGATTCACAGACAAGCTGTTTTTTCACATTCTCCAATCCACCAGGAAAAGAAGGAAATTGAGGAAAAGGGGAAATTTAAATGTTTATGTCAGAGGATTTTGAAATTTAAGAATAAAAACCCATACTGTGACAGTCACACACCACACTTCTGAGAATTATTTTTGAACACTAAATGTATCCAACTGTTTGTGGAAAAATTAATGCTTACTTCCTCATACACCAAATAAGAATTTAAAATTCTGAAATAACCAAGAGAAAACACAGCCTCCCCACCCCCTAAAAAACAACCAAACAAACCAGCACAGTACATTAGATATAGAATACTAAATACAGAAATGTGTAACAGTCAACAGACAAGTCAAACCATAAGGGCAGAATTCATATGGCTGAAGACTCAACTGATTCTTTCGTTACTTTTAAAACTTTCCTCCAAGAACTTAAAATAGCGAGCAGCTTTTTAGAAGAATGAGGGAACTAAAAGAAGAGGTTTTGAGGAAGAGACATGTAAGACCAACAAGACAAAAATGCTAAAGGAGACGTGACCAAATGAAATCAAACAGAAAAGCTAAGAGAAACTAGAACCAAGGTGGTATACAACAAGAACACTGAGGGCGCATGAAGAGATGCAAAAGGTGTAGTCCAGTCATATAAGCACAGAAAAGCAGCAATAAAGGTTCCAAGGTGTGCATGTGGAACAGGGCAGAAATCTGTACTGTAACTTCCCATTCCCTTTTAGTACCTTCCTGAAGGCCCAGCTCTGGTGACTGTGCAACAGAGGGTGAAGACTGTGGCTTGGAAGAAAGGCTTGGAGCAGGTGTCCTTACTGGTGAGATCACAGGAGAGGAAGCAGATGTTCCAGCCCCAGGCTTGGTGAAGAGAATGCTCTGGCTCACAGAATGCACAGGCTGTGAAGAATCACCACCACCTGAAGACAACAGCAGAAAGCAGGAATGCTTTGGATTTGTACAGTTACACAATAAAAGCAATCACATTTGATTTCACAGTAACTACAAAAATAATACAGTACTTCAAACAAGTTTATACAAAAGAGTTGAGGGTTTTTTTATTAAATATAATGTTAAAACTCCATTAAAATGAACAAACTGCTCTGACAGCTAACTGCAAAAAAGGAAATCATGATACAGTAAGATCAAAATTAAGCAAAAGCTAAACTGATCCATTTTTGACTGATCCTCATAACTCCATGTCCTCACAGGTTCCTCTTCCCGGGTAAGAGGAATGCAGTCCATGTAGGATAACTCCCTTTCAATATTCCTCCCAGAGACAGGAAACCTGAAAGTCAGCTGTGCAGCAGACCAACATTCTGCCTTCCTCACAGGGCTGCTACTTTGTGATTTTGATACTCAGTTATGAGACTATATTCCAAGCAGTCTGTTTCAACCAACCCTGAGTATTCCACAGAACTTCTGATGTGTTTCAAACATCTGGACCAGATATATTCTCCTTAAAAAAAAAAAATCAAGATTAGTGCTTTGAGAGATATGGCAAAATTCAGTTGAAATTCCTATCAGATAAGGACAACATAACCTCAATTAAGTTAGCTTTTAATAGGGTCACTCCTTGTTTATGAACTGAAAAAATTCATCATATTGATTCTTTCCAAAATCCTGACAGACAAGCTGTTAAAAATAATAATAAGGAAATCTGACCAATACTACTTCGTAAACAGAAATTAAGCAAGAACAAAATTCACCATTTGTACTCATCTAAGTTACAGAATTCACTGGATGATGCACCTGTAATACTAACATTGCTTCCTTTGCACATATAGCAGCATAGTTCATATATTCCCTGACTTTTCCTTAAGTAACGGGGTTGATATCTGGAAGGACTTTAGGGGAAGTTGAGTCTTTTAGAAGGAGCAAAAAGAAGAGGCGGCTTAAAATTATTCCTCTGCTTTTCAAATTCACTGCCAAAAATAACAGCATACATTTTCAGCACCCTAATGGAACTTTCATTTATTATGCAGTTTTCAAATATAATGTTGAGTATACAGACAGCTTTCACACAAGTGTTATCAAAATCCAAATTAAAAATGTATTTCTTCGAAGGTCATGGACACAGCATTTTCTATTGAAATGTACTTGCGATAACCTCTGCTTCTACACATTACGTCTTGTGCACTCCCCATGAAAGCATCAGCATCTGTCAGCAGAAATATGCTTGTCAGGGTAGCAACACAGCTCCCTCAAGCAAGATATGCAAGAAGACAAGGGAAGTTCTTTGCAACATTACTGTGCTTACCCAGGTTTTGTAGCAGAGAGTTATTTATGGGGTTATGGTATTTTCCGTACTTCAAGTCAATACAGTGATGTTGGCAACATCAAGCACTGCTGTAAAGCATGCCAAATGCTGTAACGCCAGTGTCACGTATTCAAAACCAAAACCAATTTACACCCAGATTAACTGAAAATGTACTTCAAGCCAAGTACTAGTACCTATTCTCAGAAGTTATCCAAGATATCCTTCAAAAAATGTAACTTTTTCACTTTTTCTTTGTAAAAAAAATCCAACTTGCAAAATTATACATTAAACTTTATTTGGTGGCTCTGGAAAGCTCTTGAAAGCTGTAAATAACCAAGACCAAAGGAAGCACTTCAACAAAGTTAATCTTAAAAAAGAACACATTGTTAGTAGCTATCATCACATGAGACAAATGTATGGTTATGGTAATTGTGCTATCAATTTTTTCCTTTTCCTCTGGCAAGTAAGCAGCTTGGACTCTGTCATGTAAGTACTGATTAATTTAGGATTGCATATTTTAGCTCATGACAAAGCTATACTCTAAACTGATGTTCAGTTCAAGTTTCCCATCAGCTTATGCAGCCCAATCAGGCCATATAACATTGCCACTAACCAATCCCATGAGAAGCCAAGGGCTTTGTCAGGCTGCAATAAACATAAAACCCAATCTCACAGACACAGTATTTTCTGTTTCTCACCTTCCACTCCGCTCACCTATAATGGGCACTGAAGTCTTCCCTTGTGCCATTCAACCACAAACATCTCTTGTACTAAAATTGACCAAGTATACCACTTGGTTACAAAAGCCATGTACTAATAAAGCTCTACAGCTAAAAGGTATGTTACAGTAAGAATCTGCATAGCTGCGCAAACTAGCAGTTTAAGTCACCTTTTTCTCTACGCACCGTAACTTAAAGTTTTTACTTAATTTCCAACTTGAGACCTACAGGTATTGTAGTTCAAAAAGCACAGCACCACAGTACCTTCTCAACTTTTCAGAAGAGATATAAGAACTATTCCTTTTGAGCTGCTATAGCCCTCCTGGTCTTCCACCCCCCTCCAACATAACATGCAATTCCTACCTTAAGATTTAACACCTCCCTGCAGTTAGGAAGATAGGATTGTGTTGAAAGACAAACTTTCTGTATCTCAGCTACAGTCCTTCCTCTTTTTCCAACTACACCTATATTAGCAGATTTACAGGGTTATAACCTACATTCCTATGGAACTGGGGCAGCAAGGACTTTAAATCCTGATCTGACACAAGGGGGGAAGTATGTGAATAAGATCAAGAAATTAAAGCGTCTCCTGCTCAAGCAGACGGCCTATGATTACAGGACAGTGGACTAGGAAGCAAAGAAACCCTGACCTATCCCCACAGAGGGAATTCTCTTATCTCCCCCCTTCTCAGGGATGAGTCTACTAAAATTTAGGCATCCTGGCCGACATCCACACTGACTGGAAAGCACCAAGAAAAATCAGAGTGCACCAACTTCAGTTGAAATAAGCTGAAAAAAAACCCCAACCCCAAATCCACTAAGGAAAGCTACTGAGCTAGAAAGACAAAAAGCCTAAATAATATAAAGTGCGTTATTTACACAGCACAACACTATTTCTGGTCATACCTATACCAACACTGTTCTGCTGAAATAGAGAATTTAAGACTAGAAGAGGGTGTTTTTGCTAGATGAAACTAGTTTAAACCAGCAAGCAGAAATATATTTCTTTTCTGCTTTATTTATACTCCCTAAAGCAAAGAAAATTATCCTCACTGGCTGCTATTTACCAAAAAAGTCAACTTCCAGAAAAAGATCCCTCTTCAAATAAATTTCTTCTTTAGAAATCTCAGCAAGCTTCACTGAAAATACCTCAGTGATTCTAGATAGTGGCTGCTGAACTTTCTGAAAAAGATTTCTGTTGCAGTTCTGTGCCCTTAGTACAAGACATACAGCAGCTCAGGGCTTTGGTCTGAACAGTTTCAGCATTTTAGGGGCTTTCTAAGCCCCTACACAAATAATTTTCTTTAAAAATCCAATTGTAAGTCCAAGGCTTAGAACTTCTCTGATTCAACTAGAAAACAATTCAGAAATCATCAAACTTCTGAAAAGTTCATGCCAGTCTAGATTTCTTAAGTCCTGATTAAACATAGATTTTATTAAAAACATGGCATTCTTCTATAGAAAGAACACTTCATTTTCATCACAGAGAGCTTTCAGTGTTCACTGACTGCACAAAACTGCTGTTGAAAAATACATTAAGACAGCATCCTGAACTACAGTATTTGTAAGATTTGCTTATTTATAATTTGAGGGTTGTAAGGGGTCTTCTTTCACAGCACAGCAGCAATAGCATGAAACTGTGTTATTGACACTGACTAATAGTAGTACACTGTATCAAAATTTCTTTACATGGAACACTCACAGAAAGCACTCTTAGGAATTACAGTAAATTTTCTTTTTTCCCCACTTTTGCCAAAAACCACATACAGAAAAGACTGAAACAGTTTTCCATCATTTTCTTCCTAGAGAACAGTAGGGAGGATTAAATATTCAGAAAAACTACTTTTTACAAAGCACTCCTTATTTCTTTAAATTCCTTGTGTGTTGGACTCAGACACTTTTCAAGGACATACAAGAGCAGACAAACAATTTTCAAGATCCAATTCCTTTTCTGGAAGGCTGCAAACAATTAGAATACTATGCAGGAAATTACTCCATTTGAGAACAAGACAACTGCACTGGAAATTTAAAAAGCATATCAGTGTTGCAATAAGTAAATAAATTATGCCAGGACAAGACTACTACTATTTTAAAAATTGTACTTATTATATATTCATATTATTTTGTTAGTAATTATTATAAACCAGGTGTTGCAGCAATTGTATTTTTAACATATTCTAGCCAAAGACTTCAAAAAAAGTCAGATATTACAGGACGGAGTCTATTTAGCCCCAGACTTCAAAAATGGTGCCTTTAGAATTTAATAATAAAACAGCCTGGCTCCTCCTTCAGCCTATTACTGGCTGCTATCTTTATTTGCTCCTTCCCAGTCAGTAAATACAGAATCATTTGTGTGCTGAGGTTATACCAGGATTCAGAGGGAAGAGAAAAACAGTCATTCTCCAGATAAACCAGTTCCACAATCCAGTCCAAAGCACAGGGCATGCTTACCTCAGCAGCTTTGCAAGCTCAAAACAAGTTAAATGCGGTTTAAGTAATTATGCCTGCAGTCTGGCAAACAAGCCAGGTACTGCAATGTTACTCAAGTGTAACAGAAACAGTGGATCAGATCAGTGTTTATTTTTGTAACTGCAAAGTGTGTACCTATTATGCACCACTACCACAGCCAGTTTGATCATCAGCACTTTGAAATTCAAGCATATTATTACTATGTTTTCTTAAGGCCATATATTAACTCAGTCACTTCATTAAGAAGGGCACTCACTGAATTAAGAAATAAGACTACCCATTGCTTACATTGCTCTTCATAGTCTGGTCAGCTTCACTTTTTACCTTTAAAACAGCTGTTCTTTATAAAAAATACTGTTATGAACAGATCACTGATTTCAAGATAGCTCCAAGGGAAATAAAATTAACAGTCGTTCAAATTATAACTTTCTGTTTTCATTTTCATACAACTACTGCAAATCTTTCTATTCTGGAATGATATCTGCATTCTCTCTAGTCCAGCTGTAGATTCTGCACTCAGGAACAATTTTTTTGGCCAGAGTTTTAAATCTTTAGTCCTTGAAAGAATTCATTTTTATGCTCAACTGTGAAATGCCATCAACTTCAGAAGCTTTTCAAGAAGCTCCCTATTTTAATTTTTTAAACAGTATTTTGATTCATGTTTTTGAAATATTACAGAATATTGCACAAAGCACCTCAGAGACAGAATTCAAATCTACTAATATTCAAAGTACTCAAACTGACCTGAATGAGGACTCTCTACATCCTAGCCTTGGGGTAGAAAAAAGCAGTATTGAAACTAAATGCACCATTGGCATATATTGGATAAGCTTGATTTAAGCTTAGCTAGTTTTTCCAGTCAAACCTTTATCATCATCAAAAAATCAAAACCATGTTCTCTCAGAAGTCCTTGGTCTTAGAAAACCTCAGCTACAACGACTGCTAAAACAATTCCAATATTAAGCTATAATCTGAAATATCAGGCATAAAAAAGGAAACCTTCTACAGTTCTCTAATCTGTCTCAGCAGAAAAAGAAAACCACTATTTTAGAACAACTTTCAACTGTGTGGTCAGAAAATGACCAGTTGAGAAAGAAAATCAGAATTTTCCTGCACATGCTATTGATCTCTCAGAGAGAGCAAGACGCTTCAAGCACTCCCACACTTCTGATCTCTTCCATTCTTCCTACCAAGTACTGCCTACCCTATGAACTTGTATCAGTTTTCCCATAAAGCAGAAGCTGCAGCTGCTACCAAGATCTGAGCATACTTGTCCTCAACTTGCCCTTCATAGCTACATCCATACTAAAAATGTCAAGCTGTTGTTTAAAAAAAAAAATAAACTAAAGCTACCAAATTACTCATTCAAATGCTCATAAAGTATTATATCAAACAACTGCTTCCAAATCCATGCAGGCTTCCACTTTTTCTGAACTTTCTGAAGAGCATATGCACGCTCCCTTAAGGTAAAATTTAAAGAAACAACTCAGATCACGACTTCGAAAAATTCTCTAGCCAGAAAAGAAGTATCTTAGTGATTAATATACGTGTTTCGGAAATTACACATTCCTTCAAAAGTGCATGAAAGACATTCCCTTCCAAGGCCACTCACATGAAAAAAAAAAAAAGCCAATAAACTACAGCTATCCCCTAAATAGCGTCTTTTCCTGTATATCTCTGTAGAAAGATGTCAGTGATACAATTAGCTGCTATTGTGAGGACTGTGGTAAAAATAAAAAAAGCTTCAAGAATTAATAAGGACAGAATTTAAAATTATGACACTGAATTTCATGTAGTGAACAAGTACAAACCAACAAAATAATGATTTCTGATGTTTCCCAGATAGGTCTGGAAGTTCACTACCCTTCAAATAACAGCATACCTGTATTTATTTGGTTGTTTACTTTAGAAACTGATCCAGCGAGATTCCTGCAGAGGTTGTCTTGAATGGACTGAGCAGATGAAGTAGTTGATAATGTTGTATTATATCCCATGGGAACATGCTGCTGAAGGGAACGAGGTACTGATGTACTCTGGCTAGAAAATGTATTTGTCTCTTTGAACTGTCCAGGAGCAGGTAGGGTCTGAGAGGTAAATGCCTGCCCGTACACACTGCCAGCAGCCACAGGATAGGAAACATTAGGATACGTGGCACCAGGAGCCAGGGGCATGGTGTAGCGATCAGAATTGAGGGGAAATCCCTGAGATGTAACTGAAGAGCTGACAGAAGTGCCGTAGTGATTATCAAATGCTGCATATGACTGCTGAGCACTTGTATGCAAGTAGGATGCACATGATATTGCTCCTTGAATAGGTCCTTCAGCTGACCCCACTGTATGGGGAGGAATATTGTTGTACAGCTGCTGCGACTCCTGTGTATTCAAAGCATTGGTACCCGCAGAAGGAGTCATAACATTTTGTGCTGGTGCTGAATAGTAAGTAGGGTAGTAATTTGCTCTATACTGATTATCCAAATGTGAAGCAGCAGCTTTATTGGGCACTTGGGAATAGTGTCCTGAAGGCGCACTATAGTTTGGAGGATGCGAGTCATAGCCAGAGGGGAACTGCACGTGACCCTGCACAGGACCTGAAACAAAGAGAAAATGTCACATGTATTAAAGGTGCATCTGCTAGTAGTGCCAACGGACTCTGTACTTACTCTAATAAGTTTCTTCTTGGTTTCCACCACTAGTTTTGAGGCCAATTTCCATCAGCAGAAGGAGAACAAACCAAGTATAATTCACACTTCTTTACATATCCTCAATATGGTGACCAAGATACAGTGCTGCAGGGCACTTCTTTTTGTCTTCTGCTCTTTCATACTATGATTTTACGAAAACCAACAATTTTATGAAACTACAGAGTATCCGATAAGGCACTTCATTTCTCTTTACTGCCCGATACTTACATCAGGTATAAGAGATGTGATTTTCCTGTCACTGCAACTGGCTCTGCAACATTAGAGATTAATTACATAGTAGTCCAGTAAGGGTCAAAGAAGTACTCATTTGCTAGAGACGCAATGTTAACTATGCCCAAACTGGTTTTCTTTTCAGTGCCAACAGATCAATGGTAAATCTGAAGGTTTTTCCTCAACTTGTTTTCCTGAACCCTGTATGTCTAAGTCACCTTTATTTCCATTTTTAAGTAGAAACATCTATAAGGTTTGAACTTCACATGAGCACACAAGAGTATAAATCCCATGAAGACCTCATTAAAAGAGACACACCTGACATTTGAAAAAGTGCTTCTTTTATTTTAAACTTCTGGTCCTTTAAAAGCAAGTTTTACAATTACAGATGAAAGATTATTCCCATTATCTGAAGTGAGGTTTAGTCCATTTAAAAATTATAAAGAAATTAATTTTTGTACTGCAATTAGTAGTTGAAGCTACTAATGATGACGAGATAATTGGTCAGTTTTCAACACCGGAAATCTGCATAAATCTTTTCTGTCATTGTGAAATCTTGTTAATTGCACAGTCTGTCCTGATGTCTTAGGTACTTTGCCTTCCTCCCAAAACACCTGACAAGTTTCTCAAAAAACAACTCCACAAGAGGATATGAAAACCTTAGCTACACACAGATGTACTGCTAAAACACTATCTCTATAATGGAAGCAGTGAAGCTCCGCTACAGACAAATTAGTATTTTATAATGTTATAATGTGTATCTACACGGGCATTAACAGATGAACCCCAAAAGCCTTATCAGTTTTTAAGGAGGGTGGGGGTGAGACATCACAAAAAAAAAGCACAGTGCTATGGCTGTACTACTTTGTGTGGTACATAAAGCTTTGCTTGCTAGTGTCATGTTTGGTTTTCAGTTTCTCACCGGAATAACTTAACCATCTGCCATGAACCCCACCTATATATAGTCTGCGTACCCTACAACACAAACTTGCTAGCCACGAATACCTGTTAGTTTCCTGCAACTTTTAACATCCCCTTACACACCCCCGAGAAGACTCACAACAGATCCTGCAGGTATCCTTTAGGGAATGGACAGGGGGCAGCACCACTGTGCCTTGTTAATTGCTGGCAAACGAGCCTGCAAATCAAGCACTGCTGAGCTCTCACAATATGGAATGAATGTCTAGCTCCTTCAACGACCCAGCTTCCTATTTTTGCAATATATTCAGGGATTTTGTCATTTTCAGACCTTTATCCCCGTTATGAAATTTAATGAAATTGCCCAAAAGATACAAAGCCTGAGGAAGGATGGAAAACAAGGCTAAATACATATCATAATGAAAATGATGGTCCCAAAATTCTAGTAGAGATACAAACGGTAACCTTACAAACCAACTGTAGACAACACTAGACAGAACAATGGGGATTCAACACCATTATCCTCTCAGCCTTACATTTAAATGCATTAAATTGTTAGCAAAGTCCTCCATCGCCACTGGAAAAAACATCACCTTTAGTACTGATTTAACAAGCAACATTTTATTACGCTGAAACTAGGAAAGAGGTAATTTGCCATTTAGATACAAAGCCACTTGTAAGACTACAGCAATAAAAGCTTCTTGAACTTGCAAGATTTTATTCAGAAGAACTGTATTTTAAAGCCCCAGACTTCTGAACAACAAGCCAAAAAAGGGCTTTTTTTTTTTTTAAACACTTGCTTTCATTATTGAATCAAACCAAAAGCACTTTAAGAGAGAAGGAAAAAAAATACAAACAAGAATTTAAAAAAAAAAAATCCCCAAGTTATACTAAAACTAAAAGCTCCAACAGTCTCAAATGAATTTGTCACTGGACCAGCCAAAACTTTTATAAACAAAGCTGAACATCCCTTTAAATATCAGTCTATGTGCAACAGGTTGCTTGCTTTCTGCAAAAAAAATCCTTCCATCAGATCTGAGTAACTTCAAAGTTCTACCTGAAAAATCCACATTTTATGAAATTACAGCACAGAGCACTCCAACTATCTAAAAGGATGCACTGGTGTTTTCTTTCAGTTAATGAAGAAATAGCTGTACTCATATATCTAACATCTAAACTCCAGAAAACTGATGTAAAATTAAATTTCAAAATCAATTATAACCTTTCTTGTAAAATTTAGTTCCTATTGGACAGCACAGAAATTTCCAGTATGGTCTTCTCAGTTATTAATTCTCTCTATTCTCTCTCCTGTTCTTCTTCTAAAGAAATCAAACCAACCAACCAAACAAAACCAAAGTAAGCCTTAAATTCTGTGTTATAACTTCAGAAGATTAGTACCAGAAGAAGACAGACACACTAATCTAAAAATTCTGGAATGCTATTGCTAAAGGACACAAAACGACAAATTCAGAGTTCTTGTCTACAAATCATCAAATACACACCACTGTAAGGTATCTTAAGGCATACAGAAGCCCAAGTTGACTATTTAGCAAGTTATAAAATAAAAATCCAAACCTATTTCTGAACAGTGTATAAATTTCTCCGTATTAAAGTGTTTCAAAGAAAATAAATGGTCTACTATAAAGTTTTAAGAAAGTTGTTTTTAAGAATATTATCAGCAGCAAGGAGTTGATTAAAATAACAAATAGTAATGATGGTTCTTTAAAAATCAGTTTCAGTCAGTTAAAAACACACGAAGAAAGCATGATGTTAGTTTCTATTTGTTTCTGTGAAACATACTTTCAGGGTACTGATGCTGTAGTAGCTGTGCACTGATAATGCTATGTTTTTCAGTAAAAGCCATGCAGGTTGGCATTTTCTGAATAATTTTGACAAAGCTTAGCATTAGAATACTAATCTACCATTTAATTACATTCCTTTTCGGTCACTTCAACGACTTTTGCGCTATATGCAAATTGATTCAAAACCTACTTTATAGGCATGTAACTGCTTATCACCTAACTACCCCTTTGACATGAGAAAAATTCAGCAGTAAAAATGTTTCCATGTCATTATCCTGCATATTGACTTGCGCAGAAAAACTGCCTGTGTTCAAAACAGCCTGACTACAAAATAAAGGGTTAAACAGTAAAAGCTAAACCTCTAGGCACGCAAGAGGCATAATTTAGATACCATACTATCATTAGGTGGGGACAAAGCTCATACAGGCAACCTGAAAAGTTAACGAGGTTAATAAAAAACTGATTTTATAGCACACCAATTTAAAAATTAGGCAGTGAACGCTAATTAATTCATGTACAAGTAGTATCAGCACCTCTCCCTCTGAAAAGGAAGTCAGTATTTTGGAATTTTGAACTCTTTTACCTTTGTTTTTCAGTGACCCATATTTCACTGCCCAATCTTGTTTATTCAACTCAAATCCCAAGATCCTGTTGCGTGAATGCCTACCGCCTACTATGTTTAAGTTCACACACAGTTATGAAGCAAGTAAGCGCTCTCACCTACGGTACGTGGTTTCCTGCCCATACTCACGCACGGCTGCCGGAACCGAGGCCTGGATGTGCCTGGGCCTCCAGAGCATTCCCGAAACACCACAAAGCAGGGGCCCCAACACGGACCAGATCCAGCCTCCAGGGAAGGCATTAAAGAACACCCTCTCCCTCGCTGCTTCAGCGAGGCTGCGCCTTCTAACACCTTAACTCCGCACGTAGCGACGAGAGCCGGGGCGGGACGCGCGGTTCCTAAGCGGCTTCTGCTGCCTTGCAGAGAAGGGTTTCCTTACATGCCGGCTCCACTGTGGCCCACCGGGCCCTCCGGCGGACCCGCGCCCTTGCCTCCCCGCACAGACCCCCACACCTCCCACCACTGCAGGAGGAGGGAAAAGAGACCAGCTCCCCCGGCCCCGGCACCTGCAGGGCTCCCGAGGAGAGAGCGGAGCCGTGCAGCTCGCCTCAGGGACTCCGCGGGCGGCCTCTCCCCGCCGCCCCGGCCGCCAACGCTAGGCCCTGCGCAGGCCTCTGGCCCCTCACCGTTCTGATAGCGAGGCTCGCCGCTCTGGAGAGCCGCGGCCTCCCGGGAACCGCCGGGCCTACTGGGGTAAACAGCGGCACCGGCGGGCCGCGGCGGCAGCCCGGCGGGCGCAGACATGGCTTCTCGCAGCTTTTTCTCACTCCAGCCCGCTCCTGTTCCTCCTCCTCCTTCTTCTTCTTCACCCCAACCGCAGTCGGACATCAAGGGTCGCCAACAGATTGGGCCCAAGGGGCGGGAGGCCACGGCCGCTCCTCGGGAGCGCGGAAGGCAAAGCACGCAGCCGGGCCCAAGCGCCGCTCCCGCCACCGCGGCCTCGAGCCCGTTAACGCCGCCTCCCACAGCGCCCCCTGGTGGCACCTCCGCGACACCTCCCTGCCCTGTGTGAGGGGAGCGGGCTCCCCTCCTCCTGCCGTCCTCACACGCCCAGGCTGCTGCCCGGAGCGGGTGCCGCTGCGCGGCCGGACCGCGCGCGCGGGAAGGGTGCTAGTCTCCCGGCAGGGAGAAGCGCGGGCCGCTTCATCTGTGGGTGATGGGGGCCCTATGTCCCATTTGCGTGCTCTGCGCATGAGGAAGAGGCCTCAAGGTGAGGTGAGGTGAAGTGACAACTGTAATTATTCTATATACAGACAGAAAAGCCTTAGTGAAGCAGAATGAGCTGAGGCAAGGCTTTTCATTCTGTATTAGGAATGCACACTGTGTATTCTCTCTCTTTATGGTGTATAGATATTATCTGTGTGCACAGAAAGGCCTTGACAAGGAAAATCAAGGTGTGATAAGGCAAGGCTTTTCAGTCTTTACGCAGAATATATACTATATATTCTCTAAATAGATATATATTTATACTATATGTATATAAATGTACTATATATTCTCTAAACAGGAATATATTTACTATATATATATATATAAATATACTATATATTCTCTAAACAGGAAAGAAAGTGTTGGTGGGCCTTTGTCATGGTTTAACCCCAGCTGGCAAATAAGCCCCACACAGCCCCTCGCTCACTCTCCCTGCAGTGGGATGGAGGAGAAAATCGGAAGTGTAAAAGTGAGAAAACTTATGGGTTGAGATAAAGGCAGTTTAACAAGTAAAGAAAAGCTGGATACCCAAGCAAAGCAACACAAGGAATTCATTCCCCACTTCCTATCAGCAGGCAGGTGCTCAGCCATCTCCAGGAAAGCAGGTCTCCACCACACGTAACAGTTAATTGGGGAGACAAAACACTGTAACTCCAAACACTTCCCCCTACTTCCTTCTTCCCCCCCCCAGCATTATATGCCAAGTATGATGACATAAGATACAGAATGCCACTTTGGTCAGTTGAGGTCAGCTGTCCGTCCCGTGTCACCTCCCAGGTTCTAGTGCACCTCCAGCCTACTTGCTGGTGAGGCAGTGTGAGAACCAGAAAATCCTTTGACTCTGTGTAAGCACTGCTCAGCAGTAATGAAAACATCCCTGAATTATCAACACTGTTTCCAGCACAAATCCAAAACATAGCCCATACCAGCTACTAGGAAGAAAACTATCCCAGCCAAAACCAGCAGAGCCTCCCCTGTTGGTTCCTGTTGGCAAACTATCTCCATTCAATTTAGCACTTTCTGCAGTAAACTGCGCACTATACCATATTAATTTTGACTGTATGTCTGTCTTTACCACCAATCTATTATCTCTTATTCACTCAGGTGCTATTCAAGACAATTCATTGCTCAAGTTCTTTTATTAATTATGTTGAAAACACAGTAGCATATACTGCTGATCGCATTATCAAGACCAAGTCCAACAACACCAAGTCACCTTTACTTGTTACATATGTTTGATCAGTTCCTTCCCTGTTGATATACTGGTTTTCCTACTGGTTACTATGAGTGTCTGTCTTTAATTACTTTTAACACTTTATAAATTACTTTGCCTGTATGCTAAGCATATGGTCCTGCTCTCAATGTTACTGTTCTTACGAAGCATGCAAGGCGTCTTTAAATTTTTGAGAAACTGACTGTGTTTCAAGGTTTCTCAGCCTTCACACCCTGTCAAACTCTGTAGAGGTATCTTGCATAGCCTCCATTAGTCCCTTGATGGACTGCAGATCTGAAATGAATATTTTCTTCTCCATGTCCTAATAAGCTAGGGTAAGAAATAATGGACTCAAAATGTAACAAAATTTCGCTGAGCTAGTGAAAAAAAAAACATTACCTTAAGATACTAAAGGCCTAGGTGACTTGGGAATGGTGTGACGTTGCCATAATTGAACGACTCTTAGCAGGGGTTACACAATCATGTCGGGAGTCAGATTATCAACCAGCTTTGGTGTAAGTGACCTCTTAAAGTACCTCCTAGGGCTAAACTGTGATAGGGTTAAAAAAAAATCTGCTGTTAAAATTGTTCTTCCTTCTTTATAACCCATCCTCCATCCCACACAAAGTATTTGTGAGAAATGAATGCATGGCAGCAAAATAATTCAGAAATATGAACAATCAGTTGATTTGCTTTTTCATTCTCTGTGCTGTTTTAGAAGGCGTGTAGCTGCTTCCATGTACTGCAACTATATTTTGTTACAGCATGCAATACATGTGAATGTGCGTTTTGACAATGATTTTCCCTTTCCAAAGGTTTGGTTTTTTTTCCTCTCTTTGTACTGTGAGACAACAAATATATCCTATATCACAATCTGTGAAGGTTACACATCAATTTATGATCAAGAAGATTGCCTCAACAAGAAGAGGCAATGGGGAATTTTCCCATTGTTTTGAATGCATTTACAAAACCTTTTACACAGCTTAATTACTTTCTACAAAAAACAATTACACTGTGGTTAAACCCATTCACTCCTAGGAAATCCAGGCAGCTAGAACAGAAGCCCCTAATGAAGATCTACCATAAACTCAAATCCATTTTGTTTTCCTCATTTATAATTAATCTGAACACATTAGCAAAAAATGAGTATTAACAACTGCTGTTTATGCTATCATGCAACAAATAAAACATGAGCTGGCTCACCTAGGCCATTGTTTCCACTAGGTCTGGTAACAAGTTTACTGGAGTAACAAATCCTTTGGCCAGTTGGTGAGACTTAATTGCTAATAGATTTATTTTGACCTTTGGTGAGGAAGTTTTGCAGTGACACAAATTGGTTCCTCTGTCATTTGGGTCTGGGAGAACAAAATATGAAAGTTTATCTCATTACCTGTAATCTGATAAAAGGGACAATAAATTTCCAGAAAGCAAAAGTTATTTTTTCAAGAAGGAAAGTCTGAGAACAAAATAATTATAAACTGACTTGGAAATGATTTTGAACTTTAACATAGCTAAGCCAAATATCTTCCAATTTGCCATACATTTCAGAAGGACAATGCCAAAATTAGGTGCTTTTATAATATCCATCAACAAAATACAGCTGTGGGTCACCCTAGCTCACTAAATTTTTAATTATTCTCTTGCTTTTTTTTTACAGGAAGTGGGCCACTTTAGTGCAAAGCAATAAAGCTTCATGTTTTCACAATCAGAAGTCCCAAATTGTGTTAATACCGTTGTATTTGGATAAGTTCCTTGTAGTCACTGCAGTGTGGTTGCTTTCCAGAATGTGAAAGGCAACTCAAGACTCTTCATGTCACTAAAAAGTGTGCTTCTGCTTGTGTGACCTCTGCATCTAACTGGAGGATAAATCCCTGCATCTGCTGGGTAAGATCTGTGCTAAACTTCATTTGTAGCTGGCTAATTAGTACAAGAGGCCCCAGGGTAGTCATGCTCCACTTCAAATAGAAGTCTTTCGAGACCTAAGAGCTACCAGAGAAAGAGAAATCAGTTGTGATTCAGCACAACTTTCTTACACATGTACACTTTTACTTCCCATGCAGTTTATTTTATTTACTATCCATGTAACTCCAGAGGAGTTCTATGACTCAGCCATGAGCAGGGCTTCTGTTTATTTGCCTGAAGCACTTGGTATGTATTGAGGTTGGGCACACATGAGGAAACTGTGCTTAATTTTCATGGGGTTTTAATTAATTTATTTATTTATTTTTCCTGGGGTATTTATATCTGTAATGGAAAAGGCTCAGAAAGCAGCAGGATTTGCTTGGCTGTGGTCTTACCAGCTCTAAGGAAAACTTTGTGTGTGCACATGCTATATGGACAACATCTTTACCAGGCCCTGTGCAGATCATAGGGTAAAGGGGACTGTCACTGCCACTACCAACCTAATGGTGACGATCCAGCCACCTTTGACTTGATGCCTTGGCAACAGGAACAGTCTAATTGTTGTGGTCCTAGGATGGCTGTAAGGGATTTAAGAGAATGATTTAGCTCTATTCTGGACCAAGGCAATGAACTCTGCTAACTGCTACAGCTGATAGTTACTGGATGCAGCTAATCATCATGGTCTCTGTGCCTAAGACTGAAAATCAGAGTAACTGTTCTATTCTGTAGCCCCTAATGGTGGGTGTCATCCCTTTTCAGTGTAGTCTGTAATTTATGTGATACCTCTTCAATCTGAAAATACAACATAAATTCTTACTTACATTGATACTCCTGACTGGCAGTTATGCCTAGTAAACTTCTTGAGTATGCAGTGTAGATAGAATCATAGGATAGTTAGGGTTGGAAAGGACCTTAAGATCATCTAGTTCCAACCCCCTTGCCATGGGCAGGGACACCTCACACTAAACCATGCCACCCAAGGCTTCATCTAGCCTGGCCTTGAACACTGCCAGGGATGGAGCATTCACAACCTCCCTGGGCAACCCATTCCAGTGCCTCACCACCCTAACAGCAAAGAATTCTTCCTTAGATCCAATCTAAATTTCCCCTGTTTAAGATTGAACCCGTTACCCCTTGTCCTGTCACTACAGTCCCTAATGAATAGTCCCTCCCCGGCATCCCTATAGCCCCCCTTCAGATACTGGAAGGCTGATAAACGTATACATCTGTATTTAGGCTTGTAATACTCCTGGGTAGTTTCATCAGATGCAACCTTCATTCTACAGCATTAGTACTTAGAAATCACCAGGCAAGCTATGACTAAGGAAGAACCTCAGCTATATTCAGACATCTAAATATTTTCATGAAATTGTGTTTAAAGGAAAACTCTAGCCAGAAGCTTTTGTGTGACCTTGGCGGATAGATAAACAAAAGCAAGAGAGTATGGGTAATTTTTGCAGCTGGTGTGCCACATCCCAGCTGTAGAAGCATAGCGATGCTGTGCTCCAAACAGGCCAAGCTTAAGCTCATGAAATCTTTTCAGTTTTCAGCTATTAAAGTTTTACATTTTTACAGTAATTTTTATAAGAGCTATAAAAATAATAAACCCCTGAAAGATCTGTTGCTCTCTGGCAGTTTGATATTTTATAGGTTTTCCATTAAGATGGAATGATGACTCATCTAAATAACTGGAGCTCCCTTCCTTCTTCTGTAGTTCCAGATGTGCTGCTTGCCTCCAAAGCAAAGCT